GGAAAGATATTGTGGGAAGCAAGTTGGGACAGCTTGTTAGCGTTGTACATGGGCTGCCAAGCAGGGAAGCAGGGCGGCGAGCAGGGGACGAGCCGGAGGCGAACAGGTAGGAGGGGAAGGATAACGTGGGAAGAAAGCAGGAACAGCATCACCCCCTCGCCTTCCTTAGTCTCACCTTCTTCTCACGCTCATCTCACTAGCATCTCGCTTTTCAGCTCACTTGCATCTCCCTGGCACCTCACTCGCATCTCCCCCTCTCCTCTCTCCCACTGTACTCACATCTCATGCATTTGCTTATTTTTCATTTTTACAGTTTGTTACCCATCCCAACAAGGAGACAAGCCCACATCTCCGCTGCTATAGTTTGCACCTTCAGGAATACAAACCCACCCGACGCAACCCTTCTAAATTACATGAAACCCATATGGTGGACATGAAACTGACTTGAGTGAGCAGGTAGTGGTCAGAATGGTTGACAGAAAAGAAGTGGTCCACGGTCTCTGGGATGGACTTGATGGGGTCTTTTGGCACCTGCCGCACCAACACCTGCCATGGGAGGAGCGGAAAGGGATGACAAAAAAAGACTATTCACGCGCATAGGAAGGGGATTGGACTCATTTTTTACATCCTCTCTTCACCACGCTTACAGTGAACTGGTTATGTGCCCACAGGTAAAGTGTCGTGTCGAGGCACGTCAAAACTGAACTTGAGCGCAACCACGTCCATGAGCGTCTCACAGTGTACTGGTTGGGCGCCCTCTGCTGGTCCGCGAGGAAGTCAAGGCGCAGGCGGGCAACGTGCTTGAAGGACTCTCGCAGCATGTACAGCGCCCACAGGTTGAACGCCCACGCCAACACCACATGCGCCCACAGGCTGCACACGCGAGACACACATGCGATTTCATGCAGAGAGGGGAAGGAAATGCGAGGCTCGAATATAAGCAGAACAGGAATTTATTTATACAATGGCGGAGAAACTAAGATGGATGGGGTTGAAGCAGAAACACATGCGGAGCAAAGGAACGCGATGGAGTTGAATCAAGCACATTGATCGGCCTTGCCAAGCTTGCCCTATCGCCCAGCAATTTGCCCAGCCGGACGAGCCATTACATCGGGTGGCCTTGTCGAGCCTCACCTGGGAGAGCCATCGGGCACGTTGGCGATGGAGAGCTTGTCAATCTCAGAGTAGTCGAAGAGCTTCGCTTTCGAGTTCCCCGCGGCCACCTGCTCTTGCCAGTACGCCGCCTGCGCCTCCAGCGACCCGCCCGTGAAGTTGATGGGGAAGAGCACTGCGGCCGCCAGCAGCAAGATTGGCACGAAGATCTTGAACCTGCCGGATGGTCAACATGACAGGTGGATGGAGGTGGAGCATTCAGAGACGCCTGGGACAAGTCGAAGAACCACCGCAGGGGTGGTCAACGAGTCGATGGCTTTTGGACTTTGAACGGCAAACGCGAATGTGAATCTCACCTGAGGTTCGCGTGAGCGGGAAAATCAGAGCTGCTACAGCCGAACTAAGCTGAGTCTCTGAAGGGATTCGAGACGTACCCGAGTTTGAGAGTGTGGAGGAAGACGACGCTATCGAGACCCGCGTGTTTGATGAGCTCCCGCTCGGGCATGGCGAGGGCCACCTTGACCCAGTCGAACGTGTCGGCGTAGTTTTTCAACGAGCACTCGATCCATCGCCGGCTCTTCACGATGTTACCCTCCACCTCCGCCTGCTCGTACTTCTCCGTCGCTTCCTGTGCGCCGAGTCACGTGAGGAGCACGAAATTGACATGTGAGACTTTCCAAATTTCGAGTCACATGGGAAACACGGATTCTCAGTTGAACGGGCTGGTTGTAAAGCGGGGATAAGATAGGGCACGTAGATGCAGCAAGGTCGTAACGAAAGGTGATAAAACGAAGTCGTAACTAAGGATAACATAATCGCCGGGGTGGTGGGGGTGACATTGCAAGGTCACAACTAGTATCAGTCACGAAGAATGATAGCGAATGCGAGATTCATCATGCACGTTCTTTAAGTCGTGGTGCTCTACGCAAAGCCATGGCTGCTACATATTCCATGATATGCGCGTGTCAACTATCGTACATATTGCGTCTTGAAAAGCACATTTGGCTCTAACGACATCCTTCCTATGGAGCTTTCGCTGTTGAAATGCAAGGGTTCTTCCCATACTTCCCATACGCCGCACATTACTTCATGTATCTCCATTCAGACTGAGAAGAAACGACTATAACAACCGACATATCTATAAGCTAGACTCTCCAGGGTTGCAAACAGGAAAAATGACATTAAGGGGGGTCGCGGACCTTGTCATTTAAACAAAACCATTTTGTGTAGTAAACGCGTGCATTCAGCGGTTGTTGCGAAAAGATCGAGTAGAGAAATAACACGACCAGCGAAACTCCCAAGTTGACGCCGAACGACACCCCTAAGTCCGCAAACGTCACTCCCATGGAAAACTCGCTCCTGGAGCTCGACTACAGGCAAGTGACGAAGTAAAACTGGACCTAAAAAGCCGAACAACTTAATATTGGAAACCGCTCACATGAGCATCGGAAATGCAAAGTTGTCGGTAAACGAGACAGGAAGCTATTGTTCAAGGTCAGTGTGGAAGGTAAGGTGAAGTGTCAGAAAAACAGAATAATGCTTGGTCTGATGCTCAATATGGGAGCCAGAGACAAGAAGAGGAGACACAGGAAGTGACAGGACAATCCCGAGGAGCATGTCGGTCAGAAGTGATGGTCGGAGAAGGCGAGGAGACCTTGGCAAGTACCTGCTCGGGCAGGCAAGAATCTGCTCGAGTGTGGCAAGAATCCAGGGCTAGCATGACGATTGGGTCCTTCAGGCCCACGCCGTCACGCGGAAGGTTTGGCCGACTAGTTGGCGTTTGCGCTCCGCGTTTTCTTGGTTGAGCCGCTGGCGTGCGTTACAGAGATCGACGTCAGTTTGGACGGCCAAGCGTGGTCTTGCTTTTGGAGCTCTCGAGGCGGCTTCCTTTTCAGATTTGCCGCCAAAGTTGCCGAATCGGCCCAGTTGGTGGTCTGGAACAGAGCGCCACGCCGTGACTTCTTTATAACACAGTACACTGTAGTATATATTGAATATAGTCAAAACCACATGGTGGAAACTAACATATCACTGTCTAATAGATTTTGGATAAAAGCGATGCAGGAGTATTATGAAATATTTATTCAACCTTTTTCTAGGATATTTAACCTGATAAAACTCATTCCAACAATCTATAGAAGAATATCGAAGTAGTTATTTACATCAGGGAAGTCACAAAACAATGTTTGATGCACTGGAAAAAAAAATATTGTTACTCTTGTAAGGTCCAATGAGTTTGCGACTGCTGTTAGATTTTGAGGAGCATATAAGCTCTCAACAACAGTCTAGTTGGCCAATAACATTTGATACAATTAGCTCATACGGTAGGTACCTAGTATTTCCACACCACACACAATCCGTGGTCATGCATCAGGGAAACAAATGTCAAAAGGGTCGTTCGCGAAGAGACGACAGCCGTGAACGACGTCGCAAACGGCTTCTCTGTTTCCGATGAAGGTCAGTGGCCGCCAGAAAACTTTTCTGCCACCATTTTCTGCTCCGCCAGACTAGTTCTCTGCTCCAATTTCGCATCTCTAATTTCTGCCTGGTCGCTTTTCTAGCGTTGTCGCCGTTACTCTTCCCCAGCTACCCACGCTATCCAGCGAGTCGACGCCATGGATGCGATTTTCGCGCGGCTGTTTCCCGCTCCCAGGGGCCCGCATCCGCAGGGGCCGGGGAATAGCGCTCCCGATGGTCGGCGCGGAAAGGATGGGTGCCGCGGGGCGAAAGCGAGCAACGAGGGCGTTCTGCGCACTGGACTGCTGGCCGGTAAGGAATACGCGCGATTGCGACTCTTGATTGCTTGCCTGTTCACGCGCGATTGCGACCCTGGATTGCTGTTTGGTAATGATTACGCGACGCGGGTGTGCGACGATGGGTTCAGTTACGCGCGACAGTAGAATTACGGGACGATGGCGCGATTACGGAGAATTACCCCCCCGCCTCGCACCCTTCCTCCTCCCCGCGCCTTCATCGCCTTCCCTCCCTATCGCAGACCGCCCACTCCTCCTTCCTCCTCTCTCACCCATCGTCACTCACTCTCCTGCTTTCCGTCTCTCACTATTCCTTCTATTACCTCCCCCTCTGCGTCCCCTCTCTCTCCCCTCTGCCCGCCTCCCCACTCACACGTCTCCCACTCTCCCGCGCTCGCCGCTCGCTCCTCCGCGGTGGGGGCTGTTTTCCGCCTCTCCGCCTCTCCGCCTTTAAGCCTCTCCCCCTCTCTGCTCACCGTCTCCCTCCCTCCCTCCCTCCCTCCCTCCCTCCCTCCCTCCCTCCCTCCCTCCCTCCCTCCCTCCCTCCCTCCCTCCCTCCCTCCCTCCCTCCCTCCCTCCCTCCCTCTCTCCCTCCCTCTCACCCTAACTCCCGCCTCCCTCGTTTCCCTACCCCCTTCCCTCCTTCACTCCACCCTCCTCCCACTCGCTCCCCCCAGCATCCGCCTTCACAGCGGGCTCTGGTCTGCTGCTCGCCGCGCATCACCGCACCTCACCGCTTGCCCTCGCAGCCGACCCCACCGACACGCAGCAGCAGGTGCGTGCGGTACGGTACTGTAAGGTACGGTAACCATGCCAAATCTCTCCGCTCACATCACAGCAGGCCGGAATCTCCTCCGCATGCAACCTCATATGCCCTCCATCCATCCATCCATCCATCCATCCATCCATCCATCCATCCATCCATCCATCCATCCATCCATCCACTTCACATGGCAGACAAACAACAGACCACACCAGCTTGTCACTCTTGCCCTTGTGAGCGATTTGGGAATCACTTTTGAGAATTCTCAAAAGAGACCAGCGCGAGGCACCTCGGTATTTGTCCCACTTACTCGTTCTCCGAGGGCTCCTCACAATCAGTCCCTTCTGTTCTCCGATCCTTTTCAAGTCGATATGTTCGTTGCGCATTCTCAAGCCAACATACTCCCCAACTCACGCTCCTCCTGTGCGCCACCCACCCTCCCCTCCCAGGACTCCACGATGCTGCCACTTGGCAGCCTCTCGGTGGCCGTGGCTGACGTGGCAGCAGCAGCAGAGGAGACAGTGCGTGAGCCGGGCACAGGGGTGGAGTTCCCCGTGGTGCTGAGCGATGGGGAGGGGGAAGGGGAGGGCGCGGGGGAGGGCAAGGCGGAGAAGGCGGAGAAGGCGGAGAAGGCAGAGACATGTGATCGCACGCTGGCGGGCGTTGGCGTGCGTAACAAGAACCTGCTGGGGCTGAAGAACATCAAGGTGTATGCCTATGGTGAGTGCCACCTGCTGACTTGTGAGTTGCGTGAAAGTGAGACCCACAACGGGGGGTTGGTTGGTGTGCTTGCTGGGGCTGAAGAACATCAAGGTCTATGCCTATGGTGGGTGCCTCGTGCTGACTTGTGGTCTGAGTCGACTCAAAGTGGATGCACGAGGGGTGGACTAGCAGGGGAGAGTGGACGCACATGGGAGGCTGGTGTGCCCGTAACAAGAACCTGCTGGGGCTGAAGAACATCAAGGTGTATGCTTATGGTGAGTGGTGGGTGCGTTGAGGTGAGTGCAAGGTGAGTGCCACACTGCCACGCCACATACTTGGGCGGACGAGGCGGCATTGAAGGGGCGGCTGGGCAGCGAGTATGGAGGGATGAAGGGGCAAGCGCGCAGGGGCATGCGAGAGTGACTTTACACCCCAGCCCTGCTTCGTAACCAACACCCCCACCCGCTGCTTCCCCTCCACCTCCCCTCCCTCGTCCCCCATCGCCAGGGGTTTATGTGGACGAGGCGGCACTGAAGGGGCGTCTGGGCAGCAAGTACGGGGGCATGAAGGGGGAGGCGCTGAATGGCCCTCCTTCAACCCTAAGCCCTACCAACCCTGCTCCGTTCCTCCCCCTTCCCTCCTCCTACCCAACCACCTGGCGTGTATGTGGACGAGGCGGCACTGAAGAAGCAGCTGGGCGGCAAGTACGGGGGCATGAAGGGGGAGGCGCTGAGGAGCACAGTGACCTTGCACCCCTCCTTCACTTCACCCCTATCCACCCCCAACCATGCTCCCCTCCACCTGCCCTCCCGCTCCCCAACCACCAGGCGTGTATGTGGACGAGGCGGCCCTGAAGAAGCAGCTGGGCGGCAAGTACGGGGGCATGAAGGGGGAGGCATTGAAGGGCAGCAGGTGGCTCGTGGAGGATGCCATCACTGCTGACGTCACCATGGCCGTGCGCCTCGTCATCTTCTACAGGTGATGACGCCTGATGACGTGTCATTGCTGAGGTCGCTCGTTCTTCCATTCCATGCACTTCCTTCCTTCCATGCATCCTGCCAAATATGAGACGGTGTTTGAGGCGATTTAAAATACCCCTTGCCCCGCCCCGCCCCCCCTCTTCTCCCCCCCCCCCCTGTGCTGGCAGGCATCTGAAGATGGGGCAGGTGCGCGAGGTGTTCAACGAGTGATGGGACGAGACGGCAACTCAAGTCTCCCCTCCTCTCCCCCTTCCGCCCGCGCACCCCCCTCCCTCCCCCTCGTGCTGGCAGGCATCTGAAGATGGGGCAGGTGCGCGAGGCGTTCAACGAGTCCCTGGGGGGGCGCATGAAGGAGCTCAGTGGGGGAGTGCCGCAGACAGACCTGCTGCACAGGTGAGCGCTTTGCATGTGAGTGGGTGGGGCGTGCACGTTGGTTCTTCCTACCATGTGCATCGGGGCTTGGCTTGTGCGTCCGTGCACGGAAGGGCGCATGAAGGAGCTCAGTGGAGGGGTGCCACAGGCCGACCTGCTGCACAGGTGAGCGCGGATGGCCCATGCATGTTGTTGCTTTCATGTGCATGGGGTCTTGGCTTTGTGTGTTAGAGCACGGAAGGGCGCATGAAGGAGCTCAGTGGAGGGGTGCCACAGGCCGACCTGCTGCACAGGTGAGCGCGGATGGCCCATGGATGTTGTTGCTTTCATGTGCATGGGGTCTTGGCTTTGTGTGTTAGAGCACGGAAGGGCGCATGAAGGAGCTCAGTGGAGGGGTGCCACAGGCCGACCTGCTGCACAGGTGAGCGCGGATGGCCCATGCATGTTGTTGCTTTCATGTGCATGGGGTCTTGGCTTTGTGTGTTAGAGCACGGAAGGGCGCATGAAGGAGCTCAGTGGAGGGGTACCACAGGCCGACCTGCTGCACAGGTGAGCGCGGATGGCCCATGCATATTGTTGCTTTCATGTGCATGGGGTCTTGGCTTTGTGTGTTAGAGCACGGAAGGGCGCATGAAGGAGCTGAGTGGTGGGTGGTGGGGTGCCGCAGAGTGACCTGCTGCACGGGTGGGGGCGGACCGATGGCGCATGCTTGCTGGTGCGTACCATGTGCATGGGGCCTTGGCTACAGACTGGGCTGCTGCACAGCCGAGGGCGAATGGGGCATGCACGTTGATTTGTTCCGTGGTTCTTGTGCTCGGCTTAATGTGTTCAAGCACAAAAGGCCTCCGCTTTATGTGTTCCGTGGTATCTCTCCTACCTACGGGCCCTAGTTCCCACCCCACCCCACCCCCACCCCATGCCCCTCAGTTTCATCAAGTGTTTCACGGATGATATCAAGCTGTATCTCGATTAGTCCCCTTCCATCATCCCCAACACCACTCACCCTACCCAGTCTCAATCCCACCCTACCCCACCCCATCCCACCCCCCCCCCTTCAGTTTCACCAAGTGGTTCACCAACGACATCAAGCTGCATCGAGGCACGGTCATTGACATCACGCGCCGCCCAGGCCATGTGCTAGAGACAAAGAGTGAGTCTGATATGCCCAAGAGATGCCGCCCAGGCCATGTGCTAGAGACAAAGAGTGAGTCTGATAGGCCCAAGAGATGCCGCCCAGGCCATGTGCTAGAGACAAAGAGTGAGTCTGATAGGCCCAAGAGATGCCGCCCAGGCCATGTGCTAGAGACAAAGAGTGAGTCTGATAGGCCCAAGAGATGCCGCCCAGGCCATGTGCTAGAGACAAAGAGTGAGTCTGATAGGCCCAAGAGATGCCGCCCAGGCCATGTGCTAGAGACAAAGAGTGAGTCTGATAGGCCCAAGAGATGCCGCCCAGGCCATGTGCTAGAGACAAAGAGTGAGTCTGATAGGCCCAAGAGATGCCGCCCAGGCCATGTGCTAGAGACAAAGAGTGAGTCTGATAGGCCCAAGAGATGCCGCCCAGGCCATGTGCTAGAGACAAAGAGTGAGTCTGATAGGCCCAAGAGATGCCGCCCAGGCCATGTGCTAGAGACAAAGAGTGAGTCTGATAGGCCCAAGAGATGCCGCCCAGGCCATGTGCTAGAGACAAAGAGTGAGTCTGATAGGCCCAAGAGATGCCGCCCAGGCCATGTGCTAGAGACAAAGAGTGAGTCTGATAGGCCCAAGAGATGCCGCCCAGGCCATGTGCTAGAGACAAAGAGTGAGTCTGATAGGCCCAAGAGATGCCGCCCAGGCCATGTGCTAGAGACAAAGAGTGAGTCTGATAGGCCCAAGAGATGCCGCCCAGGCCATGTGCTAGAGACAAAGAGTGAGTCTGATAGGCCCAAGAGATGCCGCTCAGGCCATGTGCTAGAGACAAAGAGTGAGTCTGATAGGCCCAAGAGATGCCGCCCAGGCCATGTGCTAGAGACAAAGAGTGAGTCTGATAGGCCCAAGAGATGCCGCCCAGGCCATGTGCTAGAGACAAAGAGTGAGTCTGATAGGCCCAAGAGATGCCGCCCAGGCCATGTGCTAGAGGCAAAGAGTGAGTCTGATAGGCCCAAGAGATGCCGCCCAGGCCATGTGCTAGAGACAAAGAGTGAGTCTGATAGGCCCAAGAGATGCCGCCCAGGCCATGTGCTAGAGACAAAGAGTGAGTCTGATAGGCCCAAGAGATGCCGCCCAGGCCATGTGCTAGAGACAAAGAGTGAGTCTGATAGGCCCAAGAGATGCCGCCCAGGCCATGTGCTAGAGACAAAGAGTGAGTCCGCTAATTGTATAATGACATCACATTTTGTGAGCCACTACTCTCCTTGGTTTCAATGGTGTCTGCTAACCACACACCGCAACACTTCTCATATGCACCCTTTCCCTACCCCACTGCTCCAATCAACAGTTTAAATTCACTGCCACTGCACTTGTACCGGGTCTCATTCACTCTGATTCTCTCCCGTTCTCATTCTTTAATTACCATTACCACGCTCCTCATTTCCTCCCGGCAACTCCCTCCCGTTCCCCCCCGCGCTACTTCCTCCCTTGCACCAGTTGACGGCAAGTACATGGGATCCACTAAGAGTGCGCTTATATCCCGCGCACTCTTTGAGCTCTATGTGGGGGACAAGCCCTTTGACAAGAAGGCACGCGAGGGGCTGGTGGACAAACTCATCTCCGTCGTGCACTCGTAAAAGCACACTCCTAAGAGTGCACTCGAAATGGGTCGTGCACTCGTAAGACTGCCATGCAGCCGCAACCGTATGTATCCAAGGGCTCCTCAAGGAGTGTCGGCTGCTAGGCTACCGTACCGTAACGTGTGGCAGCGGTGTGTGATGTGGTGGTTCCTTCTTTGAGAGGTGTTTTCACTGCCACAGCACAGCACAGCACAGCACTGTGCGTTTGGGAACTTCTTATGCCTCTTTGGATTATTTAATAAAGGCCGTGTGCTGCAGTGTGGCGCTGCCTGTTGGGCCTTGGACAGGGCCTTAGGTCCTATAAGGAGGTCCAATCCACTTTCTCAACAGGATTTTGGAGGGTTTCATTTCATGACTCACTTTTGCATTTGTTCCGTTGCAAATGAACAATCTGAGCAACGTTGATGCACATTGCACACTCTGTGATGTGGACTACAAAACGATCCGCCTCGGGCCTTCTGTTTTTTCTGCACCAGGACTGCAATGCGACCACACCGAGGCACGCCTCTTTGCAACCTCTCTGGTCTAGAGAGGTTGCAGACATGCAGAGTGCCACATGACTGCCAAGCAGTGCCACTGGGATGGAAGGGAAAGGCTGAGCTTACCGTAACAAGTGGAATGGGCACAACAACAAAGCAAGGTACAGTTACTGGTAATTCCGAACTGTTTACACATCAAGCTACATTCCCTTGTGCGCAACCGTGCCGCTTCAGTACACGGTGTAGACTACGCCACATGGCAACCCACTCTAAACCAACCACCAAGGCAGCATCAGCATGGCAATTGCTAAGATGGCATGGTCGGTAGTATGATGGATTCGCTTGTCAATAATGACGTGGCCGCCAGCCATGGCCATCATGACCACCGTCATAACACATCGCCATCATGACCTTCCCCTTCTGCTCTCCTCTCCTCCTGCCCTACCAGTCGTTCCCACAAAACCCTTAGAGTAGCAGCTGCTAAGGCGGCACAGGAGGGCCTGTTCGCTTGGCGATGGTGATGCGGCCGCCGGCCATGGCGATCACGGCCTTTAGCTGCTCCATCTTCCCCCTCTGCTCCCCTCATTCCCTACCAGTCACTCCCACAAAACTCTTGCGAGTAGCAACTGCTGCTAAGGCGGCAGCACAGCAGGATCTGCCCGTTTGGCAATGGTGATGCGGCCACCAGCCATGGCGATCATCGCTTTGAGCTGCTCCATCTTGCCCTTCTTGCTCTCCACCAGTCTCTCTCTAGGGCGGAGCAGCAGGGTCGGTTCGCTTGGCAATGGTGATGTGCCCGCCAGCCATGGCGATCATGGCCTTCAGCTGCTCCATCTTGCCCCGCTCGCTCGCCTCGTAGCTCGCCACGCGCTCCCGCAACCCGCCCTCCTTGGCCGCTGCCCGCTGCTCCCTGCGCGCCTTCTCTCGGGCCAGCCTGGTGGGGGGAACAAGGTGGTATGGATAGGTGGTTGCAAGAAGGTAAGAAACGAGGATGAGACAAGGGCTTCGACGAGGGCAATGGCTCGCTCGCCTCGTAGCTCGCCACGCGCTCCCGCAACCCCCCTTCCTTGGCCGCTGCCCGCTGCTCCCTGCACGCCTTCTCTCGAGCCAACCTGATTCAGGGAAGAAGGGGGTGAGGACGTAAAACGAAAAGGCAAAGGCAACGATTCGAGAGGAATCACGAACGGATATCACAGGGCAACACGCTTTCTGTTTCACAAACTGTCCTCTATCAGGTCCGCACATCCTCTATCAGGTCCGCACATCCTCTATCAGGTCCGCACATCCTCTATCAGGTCCGCACATCCTCTATCAGGTCCGCACATCCTCTATCAGGTCCGCACATCCTCTATCAGGTCCGCACATCCTCACGTGCGACGTTGAAACATGGAGAGGAAAGAGGACAGGGTGTGATGACTGGCCGAAAATCACCAATCACCCCTTCCATCCAAGTCGCCTGCCTCCTCCTCCCACTTCCTCTCCATCCTCTCACTCACTTTCCTCTCCGCTCACCTGGCTTGTAAGTCATCCCCCCCGCCCATCCCATCCTTCTCCCTCATCCCCATCTCAGGGCTCTCCTCCCTCTCCCTCGCACTCTCCCTCTCCCCCTTCCTCCCTTTCCTGACATTCGCCTTTCTGCTGACCTGGCTTGGAAGTTATCACCTCCACCCATCACGTCCTTCTTCATCATCCCCATCTCAGGGCTCTCCTCCCTCTCCCTCGCACTCTCCCTCTCCCCCTTCCTCCCTTTCCTGACATTCGCCTTTCTGCTGATCACCTGGCTTGGAAGTTATCACCTCCACCCATCACGTCCTTCTTCATCATCCCCATCTCAGGGCTCTCCTCCCTCTCCCTCGCACTCTCCCTCTCCCCCTTCCTCCCTTTCCTGACATTCGCCTTTCTGCTGATCACCTGGCTTGGAAGTTATCACCTCCACCCATCACGTCCTTCTTCATCATCCCCATCTCAGGGCTCTCCTCCCTCTCCCTCGCACTCTCCCTCACCCACTTCCTCTCCTTTCATGATGGAAATCAACCCTTCCCCATCACACCCCCACTCACCTGGCTTGGAAGTCATCCCCCCCACCCATAGCATCCTTCTCCTGCATCCCCATGTCAGGGCACTGCTCCCTCTCCCTCGCACTCTCCCTCACCCACTTCCTCTCCTTTCATGATGGAAATCAACCCTTCCCCATCACACCCCCACTCACCTGGCTTGGAAGTCATTCCCCCCACCCATAACATCCTTCTCCTGCATCCCCATGTCAGGGCACTGCTCCCTCTCCCTCGCACTCTCACTCACCCACTTCATCTCCTTCCATGATGGAAATCAACCCCTTCCCCATCACACCCCCACTCACCTGGCTTGGAAATCATCCCCCCCGCCCATCACGTCCTTCTCTCTCATCCCCATGTCAGGGCTCTGCTCCCTCTCCCGCGCACTCTCCCTGCGCCGGGCCATTCTTTCCGCAATCACCGCCTCTCGCCCCGTCTCCCTTGGAACCAATTCTTCCACCCGCATTGCCTGCCGCTCCCTCTCCCGCTTCCTCTCCATCCTCTCCCTCGCTTTCCTCTCCGCCCTGCTCTCCTCCTCATCCTCCTCCCCTCCCCCTTCCAACCCGCCTCGGCCTCCTCTCCCTCCACTGATGCCCCCAGCTCCCCAGGCCCCCGTTCTCCCTCCCTGTGCCCCCCCTAACCCCCCACCTCCGCCCACTCCCCCCGCGCCCGCTCCCCCCGCCCCCCCTGCTCCCCCTGCCCGTCCCCCAAGACCCCAGTCGTGGTTGGTGCGGGGGGCAGCAGCAGCAGTGATGGATCCGTCGTAGTAGTTGGGTGGAAGCTTGCCGGCATTCCAGGTGCGGACGAAGAGGGAGAAGAGCGCGTGTGTCTGCTCTGAGGAGAGCGAGGAGAAGAAGAGGCGCTTGGCTTGTAGCAGCCAGGTCGAGAACTCGGGGTTGCGGGAGAAATAGTCTGCGTCGGAAATTTGGGGCACCTGGAGGAGAGGGGAAGTGGATAGAGGGGAAGAGAAGGGTGCAGAAAGGGGTGTGGGTGGGAAGAAGGGGCAGCCAGGTGGAGAACTCGGGGTTGCGCGCGAAATAGTCTGAGTCGGAAATTTGGGGCACCTGGAGGAGGAAAAGAGAAGGAATCGACAGGGACACAGAACGACAGAAGGGGTGTGCGATGACGGGAAAGAGGTGGACAGAGGGCGGCAGAGGTGGACAGAGGGCGGCAGAGGTGGACAGAGGGCGGCAGAGGTGGACAGAGGGCGGCAGAGGTGGACAGAGGGCGGCAGAGGTGGACAGAGGGCGGCAGAGGTGGACAGAGGGCGGCAGAGGTGGACAGAGGGCGGCAGAGGTGGACAGAGGGCGGCAGAGGTGGACAGAGGGCAGCAGAGGTGGACAGAGGGCGGCAGAGGTGGACAGAGGGCGGCAGAGGTGGACAGAGGGCGGCAGAGGTGGACAGAGGGCGGCAGAGGTGGACAGAGGGCGGCAGAGGTGGACAGAGGGCGGCAGAGGTGGACAGAGGGCGGCAGAGGTGGACAGAGGGCGGCAGAGGTGGACAGAGGGCGGCAGAGGTGGACAGAGGGCGGCAGAGGTGGACAGAGGGCGGCAGAGGTGGACAGAGGGCGGCAGAGGTGGACAGAGGGCGGCAGAGGTGGACAGAGGGCGGCAGAGGTGGACAGAGGGCGGCAGAGGTGGACAGAGGGCGGCAGAGGTGGACAGAGGGCGGCAGAGGTGGACAGAGGGCAGCAGAGGTGGACAGAGGGCGGCAGAGGTGGACAGAGGGCGGCAGAGGTGGACAGAGGGCGGCAGAGGTGGACAGAGGGCGGCAGAGGTGGACAGAGGGCGGCAGAGGTGGACAGAGGGCGGCAGAGGTGGACAGAGGGCGGCAGAGGTGGACAGAGGGCGGCAGAGGTGGACAGAGGGCGGCAGAGGTGGACAGAGGGCGGCAGAGGTGGACAGAGGGCGGCAGAGGTGGACAGAGGGCGGCAGAGGTGGACAGAGGGCGGCAGAGGTGGACAGAGGGCGGCAGAGGTGGACAGAGGGCGGCAGAGGTGGACAGAGGGCGGCAGAGGTGGACAGAGGGCGGCAGAGGTGGACAGAGGGCGGCAGAGGTGGACAGAGGGCGGCAGAAGAGTGAAGAGAGGGGAGTGTGCAGTGCAAGGTGGAGCGGAGAGAGGGGTGAGCAGGGGCGAAGGGGGTAGGTGGGGTATGGGGAGCAGAGTTGAGGAGGAGGAAGAAAAGAGAGAACGATTGTAAATAGGGCGCAGAAGAAAGATGCAACGAGCTCGTTTGATACGTATCTCTTGCTTGGGTGCACGCACAACATCGGGATTGGGTGTACGAACCTCGGGATTGGGTGTACGAACCTCGGAATTGGGTGTACGAACCTCGGGACTGGGTATACGAACCTCGGGATTGGGTGTACGAACCTCGAAATTGGTTTACGAACCTCAAGATTGTGTGTACGAACCTCGGGTTTGGGTGTAAGAACCTCGGGATTGGTTGTACGAACCTCGGGATTGGGTGTACGAACCTCGGGATTGGGTGTACGAACCTCGGGATTGGGTGTGAGGTCCTCCTCTTCCTCCTCCGCTACCCCTGCCTTGTTTTTTGTTCCTGCCTCCTCACCGCCTTTCCCCTTGCCCTTCCGCTTGTGCTCTGACCCATGCGGTACACCCCATGCCATGCACCCCATGCCATGCACCCCATGCCATGCCCCAATGCCATGCACCCCATGCCATGCACCCCATGCCATGCACCCCATGCCATGCACCCCATGCCATGCACCCCATGCCATGCACCCCATGCCATGCACCCCATGCCATGCACCCCATGCCATGCACCCCATGCCATACACCCAACATTATGCTCAACACGCTATGCAACCCATGCTATGCACGCCAAGCCATGCGCACCCCATGCCATGCACGCCATGGCATAAGCAGCAGCGACACAAGCAGACAGCACAACAAACAGGCACGCAAGCTGATCAGCGATGGAGGAAAGGAGATTGGTCCATCGACGGGACAGGGACAGCACAGCTTCACCGGAACCGTTTTTGCGTGTTGTGAAGGAATTGCTTCAAGAAGCAACAGCAGGGAGGTGAGGTCCACGTGGCGTTCCCATGCTATTCCGAGGTAGAAAGAAGTGGTGCAAGAGGAACCAGAGATGATACCGGACCGGACCGGACCAAACCGCATGAATCAAGAAGTACCTGCTGAATCTCACGAATTGACTCTCTAATCTTAAACCCACAGACCTCCCTACAAGCTTTTTCGCCTCCTCCTCACTCACCTTTAAGAAGCTTCTTCGCCTCCTTGAGAAGCTTCCTCTTCTTCCGCCTCTCCTTGCGCTTTTTCCTCCTCCTCCGCTCGTCCTCGCTGCTGCTGATGTCACTCTCACTCTCCGAAGCTGACGTGGAATCATCGTCATCGTCATCTGAAGACAAACTGCTGCTCCGCTCTCTCCGCTTTGACTTCTTTCGTTCCCGCTTCTCCTCTTTCTTCCCCCGACCCTCCCCCTTCCGCTCTCGTTTCCCCCTCTTTCCCTCTCGCTCCTCCTGCTCTCCCTCCGCCTCATCGCGCCTCTTGAAATCTCTCTTCTCCGTCTGTCTCCCCTCTCGTTCCTCAGAATCGTCCTTGTCTTCCCTCCCTTCCTTTCTCCTACGCCCTTCACCCTTCGCCTCCTTCAATACGTCTTTATCCTTCGACGACCTCGCGTCGCCATCGCGCCGCCGCCGCTTCTCGTGCCTGCGCCTGGCGCGATCCTCGCTGTCGCTATCTGCGGCAATTACGGGCAGGACAGAACGAATCCGGCGAAACCAATAATGGAAAAACACGTTGGCTCACGAAAGCGTGGCCAAGAGCGAAAGAAAGCGAGATGCGAGTGAAATTTACGCGCGTATTAACAAAACGGTCAATGAAAACGGCCGATAAAGTCATATAATGACGCGACGCGCGCGGCACGAATCTCGCTGTGCGCCACAACTCGCAGCGCATCGCACCTTCGCTGGATTCGCTTGCAGAGCCACGACGCACGCGCTTATCCTTGTCTCTCGCCATACTCCGAGGTTACTATCAACTGACGAAGTTGTGGAGATTGGCAGCTTATACATCTACAGCTTCGCAACGAAAGGAAACTCGAACGTGTCAGAAAGCTGACGGAAATTCTCAACGCCTACTTCATAACGCGTCAGTATAGCAGTCTAAACTGCAGGGTACCTCGTCTTCCGCCGTGCTACGGTACATATAGACCATTCTAAAAAAATTATAGCATTCAGCAACAGCTACGTGTCTTTTCCGCTGCCTTGTAAGGCCAACGCTGTGGTGTGCGGCTTGCCCAACTCGGTCTTGTGAACAAAAGAAGGTGCGATGTTAAAAAAATGCAAAACTAGTGTCTAATACTACTTGATGAGGAGAAACAAGACTATAACGAGGATGGCCTGGGCCGATTGTCGCTTCCCTTTCACAGGAAGGAAGTCGCTGGTACAATTATCCGATAGCTCGGTAAATCCTCACCATGGATTCCGGTTGTTGGTCGTTCTCATCGACGCTCGTTGCGCCTCCAAACCTGGGTCCATGAATGATTGGTCAGACAATAACGTCGCGACTGGTTCTTTCCGACGTGGCTTCGGGTTTTACGCCTCGAACTGTATGAACGAACTAATTGTCAGTCAATAATTCTGCGATCAGTTTTTTCACCCTCACACGGTCGCCGAAAAGCTCACGGGGTTCTTGCTGGCTAAGGTGTCGGCGGCGCTCCTTCCAAACCGATTTTCTCGCAGCCAAGCCCGCCGCAGTTCCCGCCGCATACAGGTTGGCTTGCCTGTCATCAAGGATGCACCAGCAATCTATAAAGCGTCAGCAGTTTAGTTGGAAGCACCATCTTCCAACGTTTCACAAGCTACTAGTAGTGTTTCGGAGTGGTATAGGCCAGCAGCCGTTACATCCGCGAGATCCTGACCGTTGATAATAGCTTCTGAAATCACCCTACGCCAACATGGGTCGCGTCGTTATGCTCGCCGTTGCTGCGGTCGTCGTCGTCGTCGTTTCGCTCTGCTCGTCGCATCCTGTCGCTGCATCTTCCCCTGATGGGGGTCCCATCACGGGAGGCGGAGGTGGGCGGCCCGTCGTGGGAGGCGGAGACGGAGGTCCCATCACGGGAGGCTGGTCCGTCGTGAAGCATGCATCTAGGGATAAGCACGTGCTGAAGCTCGCCAGGTTCGCCGTCAAGCAACACAACAGTAACAAGGTACGACCAAGGGAATCCGTTCGTTTCTCGTGTGTTACTCCTTTTTTTCCGTCCCGGGCATCGCTCGCATCTCTCTCTCGTGTCGTTGAGGGGAACGATCCAGAACATGCCTGTCGATTTTTCTCTCCCCTTCTCTCTCTTTTCTCTCTCTCCCTCTCTCTTGCTCTCTCTCTTCCCCCACCCTCTCTCTCTCTCCCTCTCCCCCTCTCCCTCTCTCCCTCCCACACACACCCACACACACACACACACACACACACTTACACTCACGTTGACACACACTCCAATTTGCATTCTCCAACTCATCCATTTTTCCGTCCTCCCTCCCCTTTGTCCCCACCACCACCATGGCTGTCCCTCCACCATCCATGCGCACCTTCCACCATCCATGCGCACCTTCCACCATCCATGCGCACCTTCCACCATCCATGCGTACCTTCCACCATCCATGCGCACCTTCCACCATCCATGCGCACCTTCCACCACCCATGCGCACCTTCCACCAGAACGCGGACCTCCAGCTTGTGTCAGTCACAGCTGCATGGTCCCAGGTGGTGTCAGGCCGCAAGTGGAGAATCGTCCTGCGTGTCACGAGCCGCTCGGCGCTGGAGAATCGCAGCGCTGGGCGTCGCGCCAACCTGCGAGCGCCTACTGGTACCAAATACGAGGCGGAGATTTACGAGAGGCCATCGGAAGGCCGTATCCAGCTGCTCTCTTTCAAGAAGGTGACTTCCTCTGCACAGAGCAGCAACCCAGCGGTGCAGAGCAACCCAGCAGTGCAGAGCAACCCAGCAGTGCAGAGCAACCCAGCAGTGCAGAGCAACCCAGCAGTGCAGAGCGACCCAGCAGTGCAGAGCAACCCGGCGGTGCAGAATGCTCAGCAGTGGAAGAGGCGTTAATTACCGCGTACAAATTACAAGGCTCACCTCTGCTGTGAAAACTAGATTAAGGGTACATTCCGCTGTGGACATGCGTCCCAATCGATGTGTCCCAATCGATTCTACCGCACTGCATCTTATTACACCGAATTACACCCTAGTTTCAAAATTTTCGCTTCTCTGGTTTAGTGCGGTTCGGAGCGGTACACCCGATTGGGACACATCGATTGGGACGCATGTCCACAGCGGAATGTACCCTAAGAAAGCTTGCTTTCTGATGCTTGCAAAGCAACGTGCTTCATTTTAATTGGCAAGGCAACGTGCTTCATTTTAATTTGGAGATTACAACATTCTCGTCCAACTAAAAACATTACATGATTATCAACTAGGGGTGGGTGGGGGGGAAGCAAAACTGTAAAGTTCCGAAATGAAGACGTGGGTGGAGGCCAAATGGCCTCCAGCCCTCATTATGTAGTCGAAAATAGGCAGTCGCAGTTGCCTTGCTTCGCTACAGTCAGCTGCGCTTTCATAATACATATTTCTAGAAAGTGTTACACTTTCAAAAAATTTCATATTAAGAAAGCTTGCTTTCTGATGCTTGCAAGGCAACGTGCTTCATTTCAATTGGGTCTTCTGAGACATGTGCGTGTGTTGACGAAGTATAGATTGCGGAGCCGGCTGAGTGTCAAGATAGTTAGGCAAAACGAGAAACAGGAAAGAGAGGGTTGGACTAGCAGCAGTTGAGATACAAATAGCAAACCCTAAATTGGGCTGTACTCGCTATAGAGTACCCCACTGCAGGCTAGACAAATACAACATTCTGACACACCCCCATAGCCAAAGTGGGGTGTAATCAGCACAACAAGCAGTCATAATAGTAGTTCACATTTTATGAGCAAAGCTAGAGGCAGTCACAGAGGGCAAGTGAGGAGGAGGAGGGCTGGCGAGAGGAGAGAAGAGTGGAGGCGACGACTGAAGCTGCAGACACACGGGCAACAGACGGCTCTGGTGCAGCTCTAGTGGCTACCGGGAGCAAGGGCCCCGGAATACAGGAGTAACAGGCTCTGCGTCTGATCAGCAGCGACAGGAGCAACGGACCCACGGGCGACAGGTGCAACCGGCTCTCTGAGCTACCGGTGGCTATCAGAACCCCGGAATACAGGCGCTGCAGACGACACGACGGCGGCCTCCGCTCAACCTCCCCCAACAGTCCCACACCCCTCGACACACACCCCCTGCTTCGCCCCTAGCTCCACTCCCCTTTCACCCCCCTAGTACCACTCCGTCGGCTCCCCACACACCCACCCCCCTGAGCGGCAGCTGCAGCAGCGGGAGACGGAGGAGGAGGAGAAGGAGGGGACGGGGCACACAACCGGCACCCCCACACCCGCCACCCCCACACTCCCCACCCCCAAACCCTAAAACGGGCGGAACGGGGTAGGAGCGCGGGGGACGGCGAGGGGGAAGGCGCGCGGCCCCCAGGGCGCCACCACGGGGCAGCGAGGGGCCGCGCGCAGCCCCCCAGGGCGCCGCGACGGGGCAGGGGGTGGGTCGCGCACGGCTCCAGGGGCGGCTCGCGGGTCTCCGGGGGGCGACGCGAGGGTCGACGGGGATCGCGCGCGGGTCCCGCGGGGCGACGCGACCGTCGACGGGGCAGCGAGGGGTCGCACGCGGCTCCCCAGGGCGGCGTGACGGGGTGGCGGGGCGACGCGACCACCGACGGGGCAGCGGGGGCAGCGCGCGGGTCCCCCAGGGCGCCGCAACGGACAGGGCGGGGGCGCGCGGGGGTCCTCTACGGTAGGAAACCGCCGCACGCCTCGGGGCGCACGGCGGGCAGAAAACCGCCGCGCGCCCCGAGCGCACGGCGGGATGAAAACCCTAAAAAAATTTCGCCGCGCGGAAGTCGGCGTCGCGCGACCAAGGCGCGCGACAAGTAGAACAGCAGCGGAAGCATTAGGTGGTGGGCCCACCCACAGGATCGACCCAAGGGGGTCGACCTGCTCTGATAGCATGTCAAGATAGTTAGGCAAAACGAGAAACAGGAAAGAGAGGGTTGGACTAGCAGCAGTTGAGATACAAATAGCAAACCCTAGATTGGGCTGTACTCGCTATAGAGTACCCCACTGCAGGCTAGAAAAATACAACATTCTGACACTGAGGGCGACGTCAAGTGATAGCGATGGTTGGCGTCAGTCATTCTGCTCCATGTTGAGGTTGTTGTGCTTGTTGCTGCCGTTGTTGGTTGGATGGCAGTGCCGATGGTTGTTGGTGGAGTGGAAGACTGAGGTTCAATATGATTACTGCGCTGGCACGTGAGGCAGCGAAGATTGTTGTTGAAGACGACCCATGTGCTAGTTCTTGAAGTTGTCAGTGTTGCGCAAAGACGGATGTTGCGATTTCCGTGCTTTGTGTCGAATAGTGGGGTGTGGGGCGGCATACTAATGTCATGTTAGCATGAGTGCATGCTCCTCCATACGCGACATACATAGGGGAAGCTTGAGTTTGAAACTGGAGATGGCGATCCAAAACCAACGACTTCATTGAAGGAACAGATGTCATTTGGCCGCGTCAATGTTGGTGGGCTTGCCAGAGAACGTTACGCAGTCTTCAAAGGTGCGTCATGACTTTGTATGACTGAGGGTGTGTAAGCTGCAGACGAATATCGGAAGATCGAGAAGATAACGGGGCGTTGTTGCAATGAGTGATCGCAAGCGCACCCAAGTAAGAAGTTTTTGAGACCGGGGAACGGAAGAGCACAGAATCAGATATGGTCGTGGTGGAGTGGACGATGTTGAATGATGATAGACTCATTCGCAAGTTTTGTACATCCAAGAGGATGCCAGTATTGGTTCGTAAAAGGATAGTGTCACACAGTAGCACGGATTTATGGGAGAGCGTGGTGCAGTGCCTCGAAGCACGGGTTACGGGTCCATTAGTTGCTCGTCTCTTAGCCTATCAGTTGCTCATCTCTTAGTCCATCGGCTGCTTGTTTCTTGGCCTATCGGTTGCTCGTTGCTTGACCAATCGATTGCTCATCTCTTGACCCATCATTTGCTCATCTCTTGGCCCATCTGTTGCCCATCTCTTGGCTCATCGGTTGCTCATCTCTTGGCTCATCGGTTGCTAATCTCTTGGCCCATCGGTCGCTCATCTCTTGGCCCATCTGTTGCTCGTCTATTGGCCCATCGGTTGCTCATCTCTTGACGATCTTGGTCCTTCGGTTGCTCCTCTCTTGGCCCATCTGTTGCTCGTCTCTTGGCCCATTGGTTGCTCATCTCTTGGCCCATCGGTTGCTCATCGCTTGGCCCATCAGTTGTTAATCTCTTGGCCCATCGGTTGCCCATCTCTTGGCCCATCAATTGCTCATCTCTTGGCCCATCGATTGCTCCTCTCCTTGCCCATCCATTTCTCATTTCTTGGCTCATCAGTTGCTCATTTCTTGGCCCATCAGTTGCTCATCTCTTGGCCCATCCGCTGGTCATCTCTTGGCCCCTCGGTTGTTCATCTCTTGGTCCCTCGGTTGGTGAGCTCTTGACCCCTCTATTGCTCATTTATTGGTCTCTCTTTTGCTCATCCCTATGAGATATTACGGTATGATGGTGGGACAAGAACACGCCAACAAGTGCATTGGTTGCCACCCATGCTGGTCTCGTACTCCTGTCAACGCATTGCCTTTGTTGTCGAAGTGCGAACTATTACTGGTAGTAAAATGCACATTGTATGACGTTTGGTACATGTTCATGTTTCCCCTGTTTTCGACAAGCGTGATGACACGGAGGTGCGGTAGGAGTGAATGCGTAAAGGTTGAGAGACAGTAACCCTCCATGCAACCCTCGTTTGGGAACTTCAGTGCGTGTAGGAAGGTGAAAATCAATCCAATATCCTTGCCACCGGTAGTTGCACACTAGAGTACCAACTTTACCCCGGTGGGCCGTGATAGTTTGTTATGTGGTGTGGCTCCAACATCCAACTGCAAAAAGGATTGCTCACGTTTTTTTTTTTTCTTTCTTTCTTTTTTTTTTTTAAATCATTCATGTCTTTTAACATAATTGCCAGGGATACAATACAACACATCCACGTGCACAATACCGGTAAGTGGTTTTCACAATCTCAACTTTAGTCCGCTTTCCTCCCCTCCCTAAGGCGGTGGTGGTCTGCCCAGCATATCCTCGTACCCTTCCTTACCCCTCAGGGAAGAATTTTTCAGGCCGACATCGAAACACACTGACCTCGGTCCCCTCCCCCCCTGGGGGACGGCTCTCAGGCCAGCATGAGGACCCTCGGTCCCCTCCCCCCTGGGGGACGGCTCTCAGGCCAGCATGGGGACCCTCGGTCCCCTCCCCCCCTGGGGGACGGCTCTCAGGCCAGCATGGGGACCCTCGGTCCCCTCCCCCCCTGGAGGACGGCTCTCAGGCCAGCAAGGGGAACCTCGGTCCCCTCCCCCCCTGGGGGACGGCTCTCAGGCCAGCATGGGGACCCTCGGTCCCCTCCCCCCCTGGGGGACGGCTCTCAGGCCAGCATGGGGACCCTCGGTCCCCTCCCCCCCTGGGGCACGGCTCTCAGGCCAGCATGGGGACCCTCGGTCCCCTCCCCCCCTGGGGCACGGCTCTCAGGCCAGCATGGGGACCCTCGGTCCCCTCCCCCCCTGGGGGACGGCTCTCAGGCCAACGTTGACACCAGGGCCCTCGATTTCATTAAGGGGCGTCGATAGGTGCGCGTGGAGTTGGTCCAGTGATAGTTGCGATTTCCCGCACGAGCGGTGGCGTTTGGTGCGCTTCCCTGCACCGTCGTCATCACGCGCCCGATTTCTGCCACCGAGGTATTAAAGGCATATAGGAATTAGTCAGATATAAAGAAAAACAGGAAATAAAAGAAAAAAACGTAAGGAGAAATTTGAAGAAGAATTGCGGCATATGCATCGAGGTGATAAGGTGCATGTGGTTGACGCTGTAGTCAATGGCACAGGCGCGAGGGTGGCCATTTGTTCACTTCCGCGCCTGTGTCCCTTTCGTCCCTGATGCGCAAGTGGCGATTTCGCCACAGGCGCGCGTGTGGCAATTTCGTCACTGGCGCGTGCCACTGGCGCAAGTGACGATCTCGTCCATGGCGCGCGCCAGTGGCGATTTCGTCTCTGGCACGTGCCACTGGCGATTTCGTGGCTGGCGCGCCAGTGGCCGTTTCGTCCGGTGCACTCCTATCTCGGTTGAGCGAATGCCAAGTATAATCGTGGGCGCCATCTGTCGCCCTTCTGCGTGAACCCTAGATACTTGAAAATAAGTCTAGGTGGTTGTTTTTGAAATTGTTGAGGACGGGAACTTTGCTAGTGTGTGGACGAGAATGAAGCGGAACTGTAAAGTTCCGAAATGAAGACGTGGGTGGAGGCCAAATGGCCTCCAACCCTCGTTATGTAGTCGAAAATAGGCAGTCGCAGTTGCCTTGCTTCGCTACAGTCAGCTGCGCTTTCATAATACATATTTTTAGAAAGTGTTACATACTTTCAAAAAAATTCATATTTATATCGTTCGTCTTGGATGCACTTATGCAGGATGTGGATTATGCAAGGCTTTCAGGGCATGGTTGGCTGTGTGACGTATCTGGTATGTTGTGTAGCAAGTAGTTGAGCATTGTCCTTGGGTTCAAGCTGGTCGTACTTCTTGAGGAAGTTTTTTTGTATGAATGATTAAATGTCTCGGAATCCAGGTGTTTGAAACAACTGATTGAGAATAACAAGATTGCTCTTACCAAAGTTTCTCAGTTCCTCCACGTCACCACTTGGATGTTCCACGCCAGTACCTCGCAAGAATTCGTTCACGCTCTCGTAAGGAGAATCAGCCTTCTGTAACCGCATTGGGCGAGGAGAATCAGCCTCCTTGTAACCGCATTTTTTCGTTGCATCACGTACCACCGACACAAACCTGGCCAGACGGGATGTGGAGCGTCGCGAGGGGGAGTCGCAAGAAAAACGCCGACCAGGCGAGAAAAGCCAAACGCAAAGCAGACTGGATCATCGAGCCTGGTCTGGAGAAAAGACATGTGGATGTGGCTTCGGTGGTGCGATGCTGTGATGTCTGTCACACAACACAAGAAATGGAACACCTGCTCCCGCTGCTGCTGCGGCTGCAACGTCCGTCTGGTTCGATCGGCATAACCTGGACCGGACTGTTCTTGGAAACGTCAAGCATGATACGACTTACTACACAATCATCCGCCTAGACGCTTCGCTCACGGCAACACAAGCTTCCGTGCTTCCTTCCTTCCAGTTAGCTTTGATTTCGCGTAGGCAGTAGCGCGGCACGTTCTCTGCTCTGAGTTTCGTTCACTCCCGAAGGTCGACCAGAAGCAACCCAAATGCCACGTGTCAGGTTTACTGTTCAATTCGCACGCAGCAGCTAGCTTCGCGGTTCCATGGCGGATGTTACGTGGCAGAAGGCGGTGCTGCTCTTAGCTCTGACGGCGGCCGTTCAGTTGCGAACCGGGCGCGCGTGGTTCCAACCCACCCCGGGTACCACCTTCTACTGGCAGCTCTCCAACTCAAACCCTAACGTCGACGGTGCGTGACGCTGTAGGGCGGACGTAGTGTACTGCAGATCACATGGAACGAATGAGATCTTGTAACGATTTACCGTCAACTAGTGACTCTGAAATTTCTTAAACAGAGTTACCTGGCTTGGCGTGTTTCCCTGAATCAGCCCCTGAGCGCTCTCTCGCCACACAAAGGGTCAATTCAAACCGCCTCCTCCTCACCTCCCCCTCTCCCCTTTCTGTGATCCAAGTATGTTCCCCATTCCCTGCAGACGTGCTTGACGTGATTTATGGACCGACTCAAATCGCAAGTCACCTGGTTGAATCCCCGCCCCCGCCCTCCTCCCTCCCCCCAACCACAGGTTCAATCGACACCACTGACCCCGCGGAGGTGTATGACGTGGACGGATTCAGTGTGCCGCCCTCATTTCGAGGCTTTCTAAGAAAACATCCTGGTATGTGACTTGCGTCCCTCCTTGCTAACCCCCACTCCTCCCCTCCCCCCAGGTTCAATCGACACCACTGACCCCGCGGAGGTGTATGACGTGGACGGATTCAGTGTGCCGCCCAGCACGATCGCGGCGCTGAAGGCGGGCGGCAAGAAGGTGGTGTGCTACTTCAGCTTTGGCACCTTCGAGAGCTACCGGCCCGACGCTGATAGCTTCCCCAAGCGCGTCAACAAGGGGCGAGTCTGCCAGGTGGGTGCAGAGAGGAGTTTTTTTTTTTTTCGCTGTCTCAACTCCAGCATCAATAAGCACCTCACTCCCTTTCTCTTGAGCTCCTCACTCCTCCAACCCAACCCAACCCATCCCAACCGCATGCATTCCGCTCAGGACCGGTGGTGCCGCAAGTGGTGGCCGGGGGAGTGATGGCTGGACGTGAAGGACCCGGTGGTGCCTCTACTGACTTGTGTTGACTCAGAATTCAACTCTCCCAACCCAACCCAACCCAACCCAACCCAACCCAACCCAACCCAACCCAACCCAACCCAACCCAACCCAACCCAACCCAACCCAACCCAACCGCATTGTGTCCCCCTCAGGACCGGTGGTGCCGCAAGTGGTGGCCGGGGGAGCGGTGGCTTGATGTGAAGGACCCGGTGGTGAAGCGAATCATGGAGAAACGCGTGCAGGTGAATTTAACAAGAAACGGGTGCAGGTCATTGTAACGAGAAATGGGTGCAGGTGATGTTGTGAGAAATGGGTGCAGGTGACTGTAACAAGAAATGGGTGCAGGTGCTGTTATGAGAAACGGGTGCATGTGATTGTAATGAGAAATGGCTGCAGGTGCTGTTGTGAAAAACGGATACAGGTGACTGTAACGAGAAATGGGTGCAGGTGCAGTTGTGAGAAACGGCTGCAGGTGAATGTAGCGAGAAATGCGTGCAGGTGATTCTAGAGAGAAATGGGTGTGGATGATGTAACGAGGAATGCGTGACTGTAGTGAGAAACGTGTGCACGTGACTGTATCGACAAGTGGGTGCAGGTGGCTGTAGCGAGAAATGGTTGCAGGTGACAGCAGGGAGAAACAAGGGGTGACTGTAGCAAGGTAATTGTGATGGCGAAACAATGCTACCATGCAAATATGCCGAGAATGGCAGAAAAAAATGGCGAGTGCAGTGAAGGAGATATCACTCTTTATTCCTTCTGCTCTGAATCCCCGCCTCCTGGTCACAGCTAGCAGCGAGCAAGGGGTGTGACGGCATCGAGCCGGACAACATCGACGCGTACAGGCGACAGCAACAACCACCTCAACAACAACCCTTGCTTACACTGTCTTTTGCTCTGATTCGCAATTCCTTTCTTCATTCCGCCCCTCCTCATCACAGCTAGCAGCGAGCAAGGGGTGTGACGGCGTTGAGCCGGACAACATCGACGCGTACAGCAACAAGCAACCACCTCATGAATACCACCCCGCTCCCCCTCGCCCCCTCTCCCTCCCTGCCCTCACCGCCTTTCCCCTCTTCACCCTACAGCTAGCGGCCAGCAAGGGGTGTGACGGCATCGAGCCAGACAACATCGACGCCTACAGCAACCGCCTCAACGTGTGGCTGCCGCCCTTCTCCAGGACTGTGCGAATCTCCAAGAATGACCAGATCCGGTACAACGCGTGGATCGCAGACACTGTTCACAGGTGGGACATGTGTGTTGTGATGTGTGTTGTGATGTGTGTTGAACGTGAGTCTACTTGCATTTAAATGTGGCGGTTTAGAGGATCAGACCAGATACAACGCGTGGATCGCAGACACTGTGCACAGGTGGGTGGGTTATGCATTGTGTATGTGTTGTGTGATAAATGCTTTTCTTGAGTGTCTGCTGGCCTTCCCAGGCGCATGCGCATGACCAGATTCGGTATCGCTGACACCTTGCACAGGTGGGCGGGTTGTTGTGCTGTGCTGTGCTGTGCTGTGCCGTGCCGTGCCATGCCGTGCTGTGCTGTGCTGTGCTGTGCTGTGTGTTGAGTGAACATGGATTCGCAACCACCCGTTTTTTCCTGACCGCCTCATCAACTGACTATGGTCTACTTGATCTTGGTCTCTCCAATGTGTCCCCCCGTCCCTTGCATCAGGTACGGCATGAGCGTGGGGTTGAAAAACGCCCTAACGATCGCAGGGGCGTTGGGTTCCAAGCTTGACTGGGTGCTGGTGGAATGGAGGAGTGCAACGCGTTCAGTGACTGCCCATACCCCCCACACTCCAACGTGTCCCCCCCGTCCCTTGCAACAGGTACGGCATGAGTGTGGGGCAGGGGCGCTGGTGGGCAAGTTTGACTGGGCGCTGGTGGGCAAGTTTGACTGGGCGCTGGTGGGCAAGTTTGACTGGGCGCTGGTGGAGGAGTTTAACGCGTTCAGTGACTGTCCCTTCCCTTCCCCCTCTCCATGTGTCGCTCCATGTGTCCATCCCCCTCCCTTGCATCAGGTACGGCATGAGTGTGGGGCTCAAGAATGCGTTGACTATTGCAGGGGCGCTGGTTTCCAAGTTTGACTGGGCGCTGGTGGAGGAGTGTAACGCGTTCAGTGACTGGAGCGGTGGGGAGTGGTACAAGGGCAAGTACGAGTGTGACTATGCCAACGTGTTTGTTAAGGTGAGAGAAAGGCAGGCTGGGAAGTGGGGTGGAGGAGAAGGGGAAGCATAGGCCATGCAAGTGGGCGGGTGGAACAAGGCAAGCACCTATGCCAAGGGGTTTGTCGAGGTGAGAGAAAGTTATGCTGGGAAGGGGGGTGGAGGGGAAGGGGAAGCGTGGGGTATGTAACTGGGCGGGTGGTACAAGGCAAGTATCGAATGCGACTATGCCAAGGGGTTTGTCGAGGTGTGAGATGGAGGGTGGGAAGGGGAACGGCTGGGAGAGAGGGGGCATTCTCCCTCTGCTTCTCTCACCTTGATGGGTGGGAGTTGAGGGGCTGCGTGGCATGGGGTTAGGGTAATGACGAGTGCGACTGTGTTCATCAAGATGAGAGAAGCGGAGGGGAGGAGGGTTGGGGGGAAGAGGCGAGTGTATCACCTTCCCTGACCTCGCTGGTGGGGGAGTGTAACGCATGAGTGCCTTTGCAAACGTGCTTATCAAGGTGGAAGAAAGGGGTTAGGGAAGGGTGAATGCCTGGGAGAGTAAGGGGAGCAATTGTGAGTATGCATGTGCCACTTTTGGGAATCCTAGAAATTTGGTAAACACGAGACTGTGCGAACATTTTTGTAAGGTGGGAGGAGGGGAGGGAGAGGAGAATTGGGGGAAACAAGGTAGAACGGGGAGAGTGTGCAGTGGGACCAACCACTTGCCTACCGTAGTCACAGTGATACTGGCCCAACCATCCATTCAACCAGCCTAAGAAGCATGGATAGTTGGGCCAGTATCAGTGTGACTAAGCCAATGTGGTTGCTGAGGTGAGAAGGCGAGGGGAGGAAGGGGCCGATGCGTGAAGTGTAAGATTTGGGTGCGTGCAGCGGGTGGCAATGCTTCCCGGCGTCATCACCTTGAGATCGATCGCTCAACACGTCATGAAACCACACCACCCACCCATGCCTCCCCGCTCTTGCTCCTGCTCCCTTGCGTGCAACACTGCCCCCCCTGTGACCTTCTAGTCCACCCAATACTCCTCCTACCTCCCAGGCGAACATGTTTGGGCCACTTTTGAAATTTCTTATGTGGTTCAACTGTAGCGCTTCTGTGTCCCTCTCTTCTCCTTCCCCCCCCTGTCCCCGCCCTCCCCCTCTTCCTCCATCTGCCAGGCGAACAAGGCAGTGTTTGTGGCCGAGTACACATCAGCATGGGGCACTGCAGCAGGGCGGGTGAACGGCATTCAGTTCCCCCAGGTATGCCTTGCAGCCTGCAAGCAGCGTTAGGGGAATGAAACACCCACTTGATGCTGCTTTAGCTCCCCCTAGGGTAGCTGAATGGTGTGAGCTCAACAAGGCAGTGTCTGTGGCGGAACACACATCAGCGTGGGGCACTGGAGCAGAACGGGTGAACGGTATTCAGTTCCCCCAGGTATGCATGCTGTGCTGTGTACCCATGCAGCACTTAAAGCCCTCCCCTGCCCACCTTCTCACCGCTCTCCCGCCTTCTTCCGCCCACTTCGCGTATGTTTGCAAATCAACAACGTGCGCAGTTTCTGCACGTGCCTGGGCTGGCAATAGATGGTTTTGTGTCTCCCTCCCTCATTCTCAATTCTCCCCTCTTCCCTCCCTTCCTGCACCCCTTCTATCTTTCAGCGCCTGTGTGCGGACAACAATGCACTGGCTTCATGACCTTGACTTGGGCCCCACCAAGTTCCCCTGGGCTGACTGACTGCAGCACGAGCCAGCAGAGTGTGCTGCTGCTGCCTGGCAGCTGTGTGGATCAACAACATGTACAGCCTCTGCATGTCCCTGGGAAGACCAGACATAATTTTTCTCTTCCTCTCCCCTTTGTCCCAACCCCCCCCCCCCTTCCCCCCACCAACCCCCCTTTTTCTCCCCTTTTCAGCGCCTGTGTGCGGACAACAACGCACACGGCTTCTCCACGCGTCTGCACGACCTAGATCTGGGCCCCACCAAGTTCCCCTGGGCGGACTGCCTGCAGCACCAGCCAGCGGGGTGCGCTGCTGCTGCCTGGCAGTTGTGCGTGCAGCCCGCTGTGTACGCCGGGTTTAATCAACGGGGAAAGGGGATGTCTGGTGCGGATCAAATAGGTCAATGTGTGCGCAGTAAAATATCTGGCTGTACATATGAATGATTCTTTTTTATTTCTTCCGTCATGAAACGTTCCTCACATCGTATGGTACAGCAATATGTTTATTTGTATGTATACATGTACATTTTTAAGTTTTACTAGGCATTTGAATGCTCTTTTACTGAAATGCTTGATTTTTTCTGGCCTCTATTACCTGATGACCTACATAAATAGGATTAAACAACACATTAGAATAAGTGTTGCATTATCATAGGGCATTTTCCAATGAAAAACAAGTTCTAGCAAAATTTATTTTCTCACTGTAGCCGTACTCTAGCAAGTAAAATCCGAACGTTTCGCGTTAGCTGGTTCGGCCTATACTTTCGCCCCGAACCACTTCCGAACCTCCTCCGCACCTTTCGCCGCTTTCCGAGCCTCAAATGTCCCGTGGTCCTCGCCTAGCTCGACTTTGCCTACTTATACCTCGTTATTCTTCCATTCATTACTCTTCAATAGTAGTACATCAATATCTGTAGTTTTCTACCTTTGAGTGCATTTCAGTTCGTTTGCGAACCCGTTCACCCACAACACTCTTTACGCTAATACCTGCGTTCCTTCGTCGCACTCTCGCCTGCTCCATCGCTCCTTACTACCTCCTTTTCTCAAATCCTCAACTAGTTCCCGCTGTACTTGCTGACCAGCTCGCCTCGTTTCCTTTCCCTTGGTCTCTCTCCTCGTCACACGCGGTCTCCTGTTTTCGCCCATCTCCCCCCTCCTCCCCGCATCGTATCGCCCGCCACAATGAGCGTGAGCGCCGCCAACATCGCACGCGCCGTCAATGCCGCCGCACCATGCGCAATGTCCGCCATGCCCGCACTCAGCGGCATGGGTTCGCGATGCGCCGTGCGCGCGGCCGCGTGCTGCCGGCCGTGCAGCTACTTCCATGCCGCCCCTGTGCTCCGATCTCTGCCGGCCCGCGAAGCCGTCATCGCAGCCGTCCATTCGCACGAGAATGGACGGTCGATTCCGCTGGAAACAGGCCGAAGCGGCAAGGCAGCGCAATACCCGGCGCGGATCCCGGGGGTCGCGGAGCCTCATAGCCTAAGCGCATCTGCTTCCTGTTTCTCTCAAGGAAGAAAATTGAGCGGTGGAGAGCGGTGCAGGACGGTACGGGTGCGGGCGGAGAACACAGAGACGGGAGGGAGAAGCGGTGGAGGGGGAATGGGCGGCGGGGAAGGCGGAAGTGGTGGGGGAGGGGGAGGGGGAGGGGGAGGGGGAGGGGTACAAAGGAGAGAATAAAGACTCGATTTGGGGAATGTGAGTGTAATGTGGGGCATGTAAGTGAAGTATAAGCTTTTGACCGAATGTGACACGCGGGTTGGTGTGACGTGGCATGCATACCCTCAGCAAGCATGGGGCACAGCAAGCATGGAATCACGGCATGATGCCTCTCTCCCATCTCACGTGCCCTTCTCCTCGCCCCCCCGGTACCCCCATGCAGGTACCTGCACTTACTGGACCGCCACCCACTAGCGGTGAAGTCCGGAACGTCCATGCTGCTCAACCTGCTGGGAGACCTCTTCTGCCAGGTGCGCGTTGCGCGGGGGGCGGGGGAGGGGGAGGAGGAGGAGCAAGTGAATTGAAGCCAAGACAATCATTCTGCATACATTCCATGGTAACCATTTACACGTCCATGCTGCTCAACCTGCTGGGAGACCTCTTCTGCCAGGTGCGCGCATTGTGGGGTGGGGGGAAGAAAGGGAAGGGAATTAGGTGGGGAGAGGACAAGTGAAGCCATGGCATCGATGTGGGACCCACTTGAACCTGCTTAGAGCTTGAGAAAACCAATCTCTCGAATCCACGTTAGAGATTGAAACGCAACCAGTTTCGGCTGACTGGGGCAGGCCCCAAGTCAAACCTTCATCAGTGCTAGTGGAAATGAAGAAGAGGGCGAGAACGAAGCATCTATGCTAACACTACTTTTTGGAAAACCAAATTTGAGATTGTGTTTAGGCAAACATTACGTTTCGGAAAAACAACCATCTAGTGAGAACAAAAGTGTCTGCTGGGATAGAGCAAGTGAAGACATTGCATCAACGTGGGACCCACTTGAACCTGCTGGGAGACCTCTTCTGCCAGATGCGCTGCGCGCATGAAGGGGGGAGAGAGCGCAGGGGAATGGAGGGAGGGAAGGAAATGGAGGGAGGGAGGTGAATTGGAGGGAATGAGGGAGAGAAATACAGAGAGGGTCGGGAAATGGAGGAAAAATGGAGGAGGGTCGCTTCTATTCAAGGGGGTTGTTTGTGGCAATGCAATGCACTCAGGATAGCGCATTCTTATGCGTGGATGCCAGTCAACGCCAGTCAATGCCAGTCAATGTCAACTCTTAACTTCACCTCCACCATGGGGATGATCAATGGGGTTCATGCCATGCCATGCATCAATGTGCGTGCCATGCCACCATGGCTACGCCGCACTGCCGACTCGACGGCGGTGCTGTGGTGTGGTATATGGCACCGTATTTAATGATGTAGCATGGTATGGTATAATGTGACATGGCACGTGTGTTTCTCTGGTGGCATGGCATGCATGGCCCCATGGCATGGCATGTGTGACGTGACCCCATGGCAATTAATACAGGTGGTGGTGGAGGGAGCGCACAGCGTGGATGTGAGGAGGGCGGCCACTCTGCACGTCTAGTAATAACCCCCTATTGTGCATGACCCCCTGGCATGCCATGCATGACCCCATCGCATGCCATGCATGACCTCATCGCATGTCATGCATGACCTCATCGCATGCCATGCATGACCTCATCGCATGCCATGCATGACCTCATCGCATGCCATGCATGACCCCATCGCATGGCGATTAACACAGCTGGTGGTGGAGGGAGGGCACAGCGTGGATGCGAGGAGAGCAGCCACCATCTCCCTGCTGGGGCTGCTGCTAGTGGGACCCACGCTGCACGTCTGGTAACCGCCCTGCACGCCTGGAAACCACACTGCACGTCTGTTAACCGCAGTGCGCCTTCTCTCAGCTTCCTCTCTTCTCATCAATTTCCCAACTTTCTTATGCCCTCCTTGCTTACAATCACTTGTTGAATGGCATGGTTTGGTATGGCATGGAATGGAATGGGTGGCATGCTGTGGCGCTCTTCCCCACACTACATGACACGGGCATGGCATGGCAATGCATGGGCAATGACACACTATGGCGCGTGCAGGTACTCGCTGCTGTTCCGCATGGTGACAGTGCAGGGCACTCCCGGCACTCTCATCCGCCTTGCCCTCGACCAGGTCACCCTCCTCACCCTCCTCACCCTCCTCACCCTCCTCACCCTCCTCCACACATGCATACTTTTACACCACTCCCATGTTCCGTACCCACACCCATGCCTCTCCCACTCGCCCATGCTTCTCGCATCCCTCTCGATGTTCGCTCCAACCATTACCTTTGCCCGCATGCTCTTTCAAGCTGCTTCTCAACCTCCACATTCAATCTCCGCCGCTCATACATCTCCCCTTCCCTTGCTCCTCTTGTCACCACCTGTGACACGGCCGCTCGATGCACATCAGCTACTCTCCAATCAACCTCTGTCTCTCTCCCCTCATTCCTCTTCCCTTGCCGTGCATCCTCCCCCTCACTCTCATCCCCCCACCAGCTCCTCTTCTCACCGCTATTAATCGCCACCTTCTTTTCCAGCCTCCTCACCCTTTGTCTCTCTCCGATATCCTCCTCCCATGCCCCCTCCATCCCCACCTCTCTCTCACAACCCCCCACCCCATCAGCTGCTCTTCTCACCGCTATTCATCATCACCTACTTTTCCAGCCTCCTCACACCCTGTCTCTCTCCCCTTTCCTCTTCCTATGCCCCCTCCATCCCCCACTCTCCCCCACCACCCCTTCAGCTCGTCTTCTCACCGCTATTCATCGCCACATTCTTCTCCAGCCTTCTCACCCTCGAGGGCCGCCCCGCCGCCATCCCTGACGTGCTCAAGCAGGTGAGTGGCTCAAGCAGGTTAGTGGCTCAAGCAGGTGAGTGGGGGAAGCAGGTCAGTGCTGCAGCCCTTTTTTATATTTCTCAAGAATCCGTGCCGTAACCAAGTGATTGCATCAAACAGGTGAATGCCCAGGTTAGGGGCGACAACAGAGGGGGCACGTGCTTCCTGTGCTTCCTGTTGGAGTGAGGTGGTGGTGTTTCTCAGTCTGCCTGCCTCCGTCCTTTACCCTGTCCCCCACGCAATCGCCCATCAGGAGTGGGGCAAGGCGGTGGTGGCCAACTGGAAGGTGTGGATTCCCTTTCAGTTCCTCAACTTCCGCTTCGTGCCGCTGCACCTCCAGGTGAGCGCTCACCAAGGCAGATGCACTAGCCACTCTTTGCTACATGGCAAATCCACTAGGCCTTGTTACCTGTTAATTTCCACAATGGAAGCAGAATGGTTCATCGATTGCTCTTACACTCGGTGAATATGTGGCTCGCAAGGCTAGTTAGCAACTAGTGTTCCATCATACACAGGGGTACTTCCTTGCACGCCTTCTACGACACGCATTGTTGCACAGTGCTGGGTAGGACAGCCTTAGCGCAGGATGCATCAGATCCGTCTCTGCTTTTGGTCACTGTGGTGGCTGTGTGCTGTGCTGCTTTGGTTCATGTGGTGGCTATGTGCTGCTTTGGTTTCATTGCATGGTGGCACTTGCAGGTCGCAGCATCCAATGTGATCGCGCTGCTGTGGAATGTCTACCTCTCCTTTGCAAGCCATCGTGGTGCGAAGGAGATGTGAATTTCGACACTTTATACCGGTCGGTAGTGTTGCAGCTGTCAGAATGTGATGGTTGTCTAGCCTGCAGTGGGGTACTCTATAGCGAGTACAGCCCTTCTAGGGTTTGCATATATGTATCCCTATGCTTGTTAGTCAAAACCCTTCTTGCCTGTTTCTCGTTTTGGCCTAGCATTTTGACATGCTATCAGAGCGGGTCGACCCTCCTGGGTCGATCCTGTGGGTGGTCCCACCAGAAGCTTCCGCTGTTGTTTCCTGCTGTTTCCTGCCTGCCGCGCGCTCCGGGCGCGCAGCGATTTTTTCTTCCCGCCGCGCGCCCGGGGCGCGCGGCGGTTTTCTGCCCCGTCACTCGGCGCGTCGCCCCCGGGAGGCGCTGCGACGGGCGACGGGGACCCGCGCGTCGCCCCCCGTCGCCCGTCGTGGCCTGCGCGCGGCCCGTACAGCCGGCGCGCGGCCCGTACGGGCTGCGCCAGGCCTGCGCGCGGCCCGTACAGCCGGCGCGCGGCCCGTACGGGCTGCGCCAGGCCTGCGCGCGGCCCGTACGGGCTGCGCCAGGCCCGCGCGCGGCCCGTACGGGCTGCGCCAGGCCCGCGCGCGGCCCGTACGGGCTGCGCCAGGCCCGCGCGCGGCCCGTACGGGAAGCGCCAGGCCCGCGCGCGGCTCGGGCCGCCTGCGCGCGGTTCGGGCGGCTATGCCAGGCCCGTGGGCGGCCCGTTCCTCGCTGCCCCTGCCCTCCCCACTGTCCCCCGTGCTTCTACTGGCGCCCCACCCCTCCTACAGCCCGTTCTCCTGAATTAGGGTTTGGGGGTGAGGGGTATGGGGGTGAAGCCACTGAGTGCCGTTCCCCTCCTCCTCCTCCTTCTCCGTCTCCCACTGCTGCAGCTGCCGCTGAGGGGGGTGGGTGTGTGGGAGCCGAGGGAGTGGCGCTAGGGGGTGTAGTGTGAGCGGTGCTAGGGGAACAGCAGGGGGTGTGTAAAAAGGGGGTGGGACAGCTGGGGGAAGTTGAGAGGAGGCCGTCGACTTGTCGTCCGCAGCGCCTGAAGTCCAGGGAGCCACGACCCCCTGTGGCCTGAGTAGTCCGGGGCTCTGCGCCCGGTAGCTACAGTGTGTGCACTCCTGGGAGCACAGCGAGCCAGCTGCGACCCCCTGTCGCCGTGTAGTCCGGGTTTAGCCTGGTAGCGTCAGTGCGGCGTACTCCTGCTGCCTGTGTGTCTGCAGCTTCAGCCGTCGCCTCTCATCTTCTTGCTCCCACAGTTTCTCCTCCTCCTCACTTGCCCTCTGTGATAGCCTCTAGCTTTGCTTATAATTGTGAACTATTGCTCTGTCTGCTTGTTATGTTGATTGTACCCCACTTTGACTATGGGGGTGTGTCAGAATGTGATGGTTGTCTAGCCTGCAGTGGGGTACTCTATAGCGAGTACAGCCCTTCTAGGGTTTGCATATATGTATCCCTATGCTTGTTAGTCAAAACCCTTCTTGCCTGTTTCTCGTTTTGGCCTAGCATTTTGACAGCAGCTTCAGTGCTGCTGCGTCTTTGGAACGGTTAATGCATTGGGTGTTGTGAGTTGGCTAGCACCCTTTCTTGTGTAGGCTATGTCATATAGCCCCTCCTAGTACGGCAAATGTGAGCAAGTGGTATTTCAAAAAAAATTATGAATAAAAGGTTGCATGTCTACCATGGTTGTCTGGAACTAGATAGTCTGAAACATGCATTTGATCTACAACAGCACAAATGGTTTGAATGTATGGACAGAATAATACATTTTTCGGGTGTACCTCCTTATAACATTCCAGAAATGTAATTTTCCGCTCAACCTTGATGCAACGGTTGTGCTGTGTCGTTTTGCTAGAGGAGGTGGCTCGGTCCATCTGGTCGTCTGCATACAGTCACCCTTGGGCACGTCGCACCTTGATGCCGACTTTATGTCGTTCAACTCCAACCCTGGTGGCCGACCTGACCTTCGCACCGCCCGTCAGAACGAAACGCGCTTCGCCGAGGTCTAGCGAGCGCGCACACGAGTCACATCACAATTCGTCGATTCCTATCTCATCAGAGTCCGACCGGACCGCGTCGCGTGATCTGAATCTCGAATCTTCTATTCAGGCACATAACCGACTAGCACCAGCTTTCACCGTATATTATACCGTTTCATGATCTCAAATCTCGTATCATCCGTGAGTGTCTGCTAGCCGTTTCTTGCTGCCACTGTTCAGAGCGCCTCCTGATCAGTCCCATCTCTTTCGTCCCCTCCCTTTCGTGATCTCGATTTAGTTGCTCTCAGCTGCAGCCCTTCCGAACCATGACATTCGAGTCAAGCCGAACGTGGTGAAGGTGGCCGCAACGGCTTGGCCGTGGCTCTGAGCAAGCTCCAGCCAACCATTCCTAGACGTCCACTTTGCCGCAGCTGCCGGGCTGCGGACGAAGCTAATCAGAAGCCTCGGGCAAACGCTTTGCACTCGTCATTGCCTATCGTGGTGTACTTTTCCGACGTAGGCAGGGCCAGGCACACCTGGCGCCTCCTTCCCTCCCTACCTCGAGTCCTTATCACTTGCTTCCGTGTCAATTTTCACCCCTCGCCCAACACTGGAAGTCGATCTTGCGTCGAGTCCCCGCCTCGTGTGGCAGTAACGATAATGCCACTCGAGCTTTTCATCCCCTTCCTCTTGGCATGTCCCTATGTCACCTTATAGCCATCATCGCCTTAGCTCCCTATTCTCTGGAACGAGTCCAGTAAGTAGCGCAAGTGCGTGGATCTGCGTTTCCCACAGAAGTCTCTTAGTGCACACGCAGCACACCAGCTGACGAATAGTAGCGCGCAGACCCAAGCTAATATGCCAAGGGGGAGATAGCGTCTGCGCCATCTGCGGCACTCGCTAACCACTAGTAGCAAAGTGCTACAGTATCTACCTCTCGAGAGAGAGTCTGTCCGACACGATGGGGCATCCCGAATCGCATCTCCTCCTCCTCTCTCCCTCGCTGAAGCCCAACGACGCAGCGCAGCCCTTACCTCAGAATCTTGAGCATTTCAGGCTGGTCGGACACGAATCCCCGACCAAGCCCTCGTCGTCGCCCGTCACCCGGCGGTTGCGAGCATTCGTCTCGCTCATCGTTCTGTCCGCCATCTTCATCGTCGTGTTTCTTTTCAACTTTACCTTTATCGCGTCCAGCGTGTCTCCGTTAGTGACTTTCCTCGATAAAGCCACGGATTTGGAAGGCCCCGAGATGGCCGGCGCGCCGTATTTAGGCAATGTGATGGTCGAGTATAGTCAAAAGAAACAGCAGCCGCCGCAACAGCCGGGAAAGCAGCCACCTGCACAGCAGCAACAGCAGCCGCAGCGGCGGCCGTGGAGGAAGCAGCCTGGAAAAATCGCGTTCCTGTTCATGACACGTGGACCGCTGCCGCTCGCGCCGCTGTGGGAGAAGTTCTTCAAGGTGCGGAGGGGGTGGGGGTAGTGGTTGGGCGCGCAGAGGCAGCTGCGCGGAGGGTGCCGCGCATGGGTTTGGCGGGTAGAAGGTTGGCGCGCGTGGGGTTGGCCGGTGCGGAGATGGCGAATGTGAAAAGAAGAGAATGTGGGGAAGAGAATGTGTAGATTTTGCTGTCACCTGACACAGTTGCGCGGCTGTGCGGATTCACCATAACCGTGCCACGCGGTATCAGGTGCGGCGAGAGTGCGGATGAGAAGGTGCCCTGTGTGTGGAGTACGAGGGGGGTTGAGGGGCGGCGGGTAGAGGATATGATGCGACAGGCCTCAGTGCATCCTCAGTGCATTGGTCTTTAATCCGACAGATATCAGTGCGACAGGATTCAGTGCAAGAGCGAATCAGACACGCTTCTCGGAGGTACCTTTGATGAGCGAATTCACGAGAAGCTGGCGGTATGAGATCCTTCACTTTCTACGATTCTGAAGAATACACTTGCTTTATGGAGTAAGCGTTGACAGAGAGTCCAGCCAGTCTAAGAAAAGCCGAACCGCAGGTCCCTTCCGCGAATACTCACGATTGATTCCAGTGTTGACCGCTTCTCGGGTCCCGTGCCGGTACCCTCTAGCCACTCGAGTTTATTTTCTCGTTTCAGAGTGGTTCCTCGGCGAACCATTCCCGACAGTTCAGCCGAAGAACGGATCGTTTGGCGACGACGCATCGCGCCGCGAGGCTAGCGAGGACGGGAAGGGCACGGTGACATGGTAATATACGAGCGCGATCAGTAGCGAGCCGCGATAGCTATCGCTTGAGTGAAGTGAAGGCCCGTCGGATGGCACGTGAATTCGGGTTGGTTATGCCGTCAGGCCGACGGTTCAAGTCGTCCTGGCATTCCCCTACCTTGTGCGCGTCATTGCCGCTAAGTCGTTCGCGTAGCACAGCCGGAAAAATGGCGGGGTTGGGGGGTGTGGGGGGGAAGGGGGGGGGGGGAGGAGATTCCACGCTTACACGAGCCCGTCAAGCCGTTTCGCTTCAGGTCGCTGCGGTCAGAATGCATGCAGTTTCTGAGAATTCGCTAGAATTCGACAGCAAGGATACCGCCTGGATTCCGCGTGTGCTTTGAGTGGAAAACGGATTTGACACACGCGTCCGCCGGATTGCTCCGCTTCGTCAACGCAAGTCAACGCGGTTCCATTCTTGAGGTCTCGCGACATGGCCAACTGAGAATCCACAGAAGTCCTCGAGGCGCTTTGCAAGTCGCGTCAGCTCATTGCGATCCCGCTTAGCGTCCCCCGTTTCCGCATCCGCGCGCGATTCTGCGCCCTCCCCAGGGCCACGCGGGGCGCTACTGTTACATCTATATCCGCACGCCAGGGTCTATCACCCTCCATCCGCGCGCGATTCTCCGCCTCTCGCCCCTTCACTCCCCCTCCCCCTTCCCTCCACCCAGGGCCACGAGGGGCGCTACTCCACGCGGCGGACCTATCCTTCCGCTCCCCTTCCGCTCATCCGCTCCCTCTTCCCCCATCTCCCCCCGCCTCCTCTTCCCTCCCCCAGGGCCACGAGGGGCGCTACTCCATCTACATCCACGCGGCGGACCTCTCCTTCCGCTTCCCGCGCAACTTCTCCGCGCTCTTCCGCGACCGCATCATCAAAAGCGGCAAGGTGAGCGATGCAGCGGCAAGGTGAGCGATGCAGCGGCAAGGTGAGCGATGCAGCGGCAAGGTGAGCGATGCAGCGGCAAGGTGAGCGATGCAGCGGCAAGGTGAGCGATGCAGCGGCAAGGTGAGCGGTGTAGGGGCAAGGTGAGCGCTGCAGCGTGCGTGACGTTTCCGATGCGGTAATGGTTCTCCACTGGCCTCTATAGCCATCAGTGCATGCGAGATCACCACGGTGGACGGGGAACAGCAGCCCCTTACCATAACTTATGTAACTGAGATGCTCTAATCCACTGGACCGGCAGGTGGCGTGAGGCGAGATGCGCATGGTAGAAGCGGAGCTGCTTATAAAGAGAAATTACAGTATACTTTGTATCAATATTGATAACTTCGGCCTCACCCCACTGGCCCAGCCTGCTATGTGGCGTGGGGCGAGATGTTCATGGTGGACGCGGAGCGGCTACAGTAACGGGGTGCTACAGTAGCTTTTCTAGCCCTGCTACAGTGCGTTATAACGGAATCGCTCTATATCACCGGTTGTGCAGGTGGCGTGGGGCGAGATGTCCATGGTGGACGCGGAGCGGCGCCTGCTGGCAGCGGCTCTCAAGGAGCGAACCAACCACTACTTCGTTCTGGTGTCTGAAGCGTGAGTGCTGAGTGCTAGTCTGCTCTCACATGCGTGAGTGAGGACAGCTGTGTCCCTGGCGTTAGCGAGCACTCCCATCAATCGCTGCCCCTTGCCGCTCCACCAGTGCCCCCCGCCCAACCCTCCTCTCTCATTTCTTTGCAAATATAGCCCCGTTTCTCTTCCATCCCGCCCATACCCATTCGCCTCCCCCCGCGCTTCTGCTTCTCCGGCACCACTCAAGTGAATCCTGACATTAACCCCCACTTTCCTGCTCTCTTTGCCGCACTCAACCCCCCCTGCCTCCCACACTCATGCCCCTCTGCCTCCCCCGGGTGCATACCCCTGCATGACTTTGACACCATCGCCACCTACATCAACTCCATGGCTATGGCTATGGCTATGGCTATGGCTATGGCTATGGCTATGGCTATGGCTATGGCTATGGCTATGGCTATGGCTATGGCTATGGCTATGGCTATGGCTATGGCTATGGCTATGGCTATGGCTATGGCTATGGCTATGGCTATGGCTATGGCTATGGCTATGGCTATGGCTATGGCTATGGCTTCCCCATTTCAATCAACTCCACCTCCTTCGTTGCTTCCCTGCCCCCTATGCATGTGTGCTGTGCCCCTGCATTCCCCCAGGTGCATACCGCTGCATGACTTTGACACCATCGCCACCTACATCAACTCCTTCCCCTTGCCGCTTATGCATGCGTGTTTGTGCTCGCCCCACCTTGCCCCTCTTACCCCGCTTGCCCCCCTTGCCCCCCTTGCATCCCCCCAGGTGCATACCCCTACATGACTTTGACACCATCGCCACCTACATCAACTCCACCGCCATCTCTTACGTTGACGCGTGAGTGCTGCGTGCGGCGTGCGGCGTGGGTAGTGGGGCGTGGGTAGTGGGGCGTGGGGCGAGGGGCGTGGGCCGTGGGGCGTGGGTAGTGGGCAAGCAGGAAGATGCACAATCTGCTGTATTGTTAGGCGGCCCCTGCCCATCATCCGTCCACATCCATCCAAACCTCCACCACCCACCTCCACCACCCACCACCACCACCCTCCACCATCAGAACGAAGAGTCATTGTGCTGTCACGTGCTCCGTAACAGTTCTCCCCTCTCCCACTCTCCACCCTCCCCCCCTCTTGCAACTCATCGCTTGAGCGTTATCCTCTTGCGGCGCCTTAGACGCCGCTTCTCGCAACCCCCTACCTCTTTCTCTCCACCCAACCCCATGCAGGTACCACGACCTGTACGGCAAGTCGTTTGAGCGCTACGTGTGGCACATCTACATGCCCACATCTACATGCCCGCATCTACATGCCCGTTATAAGGCCGTCGAAACGACTTGTTGTACACGCCCCTCAACCCTTGTGCTGCCACGCGCCCCTCAATGATTCTCCCCACCTTTCCCGCGTCCCCTTTCTCTCTCTCCCCTCCCCCCCCCTCACCCCCATGCAGGTACCACGACCCGTACAACAAGGCGTTTGAGCGCTACCTGTGGCACATCTACATGCCCGTTATAAGGCGAAGGGACTTCGTTAAAGGCAACCAGGTGAGGGCTCGTTATAAGGCATCCAGGTGAAGCCTCGTTATAAGGCAACCTGGTGGACTGATGTGCAACCCATGAGTCATATGTGTGCGCTGTTGACTCATCAATACTGCGCCCCCTTTCCCCCCCCGCCCATGCATGTATGTGGTACATTGTGGGCGGCAGTGGTTGTCCTGCTCCCTCTCTCTTTCCCCGTCCCTCTCCCCCCCATCAGTGCGCCCTTCCCCAAGCAGTGGTTCATCTTGCAGTGGTGCCAGGCACAGATGGTGCTGTGCTTTCCTGTGCAGTGTTGTGCTTTCCTGTGCAGTGCTGTGCTTTCCTGTGCAGTGTTGTGCTTTCCTGTGCAGTGCTGTGCTTTCCTGTGCAGTGCTGTGCTTTCCTGTGCAGTGCTGTGCTTTCCTGTGCAGTGCTGTGCTTTCCTGTGCAGTGTTGTGCTTTCCTGTGCAGTGCTGTGCTTTCCTGTGCAGTGCTGTGCTTTCCTGTGCAGTGTTGTGCTTTTCTGTGCAGTGCTGTGCTTTCCTGTGCAGTGTTGTGCTTTCCTGTGCAGTGTTGTGCTTTCCTGTGCAGTGCTGTGCTTTCCTGTGCAGTGTTGTGCTTTCCTGTGCAGTGCTGTGCTTTCCTGTGCAGTGTTGTGCTTTCCTGCGCAGTGCTGTGCTTTCCTGCGCAGTGCTGTGCTTTCCTGTGCTTTGCTATGCTGTGGTTCATCCTCCCCCTCCTCCCCCCTCCTTCTCCCTCATCTTCTTCCTCCCCCCCTCGCAGTGGTTCATCCTGCAGCGCCGCCATGCACAGATGGTGGTGGCGGACAAGGAGCACTACGACGTGCACAACCGCACATGCGCTGTGAGTGAGAGCCCGCTGTCATGAAAAGCGCTGCCCTGGTGCGGTGCGGTGCGGTGCAGTGTGGTGTGGTGTGGGCAGGTTAGTGGGGCATGGAATGCCACTTTATTCCTAGACATCCCTTCTCTGAGATTTTTGAATCAAGTATGCACGTATTTGTATATGCTCTGCCGTGATCTATCCACGACCCACCCAACCACACGTGACCCCAAGCATGAACCCCTCATGACACAAGCACCCACGTGCCCATTATCCCACGTTACACCCGCATTCCATCACCGAACAGTACACCCTCATGCCGATCATCCAAGCACTCTAAATGCTGTACCTTGTATGCGCTTACATTCGTTCAACATTCACCCTGCGCTGGCTTGCGCCCTCACCTTGCGTGCAGTTCCGGATGCAGTGGGGGCGCTACTGCTGTGCTGACGAGCATTACATTCAAACGCTGCTGCATGTGAGTGTGACTATATCCAATCTCTTTTGCAGCGTGTGAGTGTGACTATCTCTCCTTCCCCTTGCGTACACCACCGGTATCCCTCCTCCATGCCCCGTATGCCCCTCCTACATACTACCCTCTCCCTCACCTTACACCACCGCTTCCCTCCACCGCTTCCCTCCACTGCTTCCCTCCACTGCTTCCCTCCACTGCTTCCCTCCACTGCTTCCCTCCACTGCTTCCCTCCACTGCTTCCCTCCACTGCTTCCCTCCACTGCTTCCCTCCACTGCTTCCCTCCATTTTGCCCTTGCCCCTTGTGTCCCCCTTCCCATGTGCCACCAGGTAAAGGACCGGCGAGGCATATCGCACTACCCCACCACCTTCACGGACTGGCGGCTCAACCAGTACCACCCCATGCTGTACCACCGACACAACATCACCGCCAATATGCTCAAATACATGAAGGTATGGTATATTTCATGAAAGAACAAAAGGCATCATGGTCAACATGATTGAAAACATGAAGGTAGGAAACACCATGGTGTGCCACGGTTACACCGTCGCTTATACCGTGGTAGATCACTAAAAGTGAGTTCTACGACTATTTCAACCTGTGCATCCCGGTAGTGCTTGAGCACATGACCACTGCCAGAACATCACCTCCCATAAGCTCAAGCTCATGAAGGTACGGTGTATCAGCGCTCACAGACACACACGTCCTTTCTCTCGCATTTGCCCACCCCCCTGCTTGCAAACGTATATCCACGGTTGGTGCTTGGAAAAGCAGAGGCCCGCAGCTGCTTCCGTGATGCGGCTTAGTTTTTCAACCCAATATGTTTCTCTCCTCTCTCCCCTCTTCCCTCAAATTCCTCCTCTCGATCCCACCCCATGTTCCACCTTCACTGCCCGTGACAGACATCTCAACAATACATCCAATTTCGGTCCTTCTGGCGGGAGTTTAAGAATAACTACACTTACGTGAGTTGCAATCAGTACACTTGAGTTGCAGTTGGTACACGTGAATGGCAACTGGTACACTTGAGTTGCAGTTGGAGCACACCATTGACCTGCAGAACCTGATTTGCTTCCATTTACATGCTGTCAGCACCTCTTTGCACCTTCTTGGCCGTTTTATGGATTCCATATGGTTTGTGGGGAAGTGGGATGGTTTATGTGACGAAACAAATGTTGATGTGTTTTCTTGTGCTCACTGCTTATTTCTTGCAGATATATAACTATTCAGTACCACAACCCCCAAAAGTGAGTGCCACATAGCAATTTTGCTTTCCAAATTCAAGTTTGCAAGTACTTCGTCGTTGACTGCAATGTTCTTCTTTCATAAGCTTCTTATTATCCATAACAATGTTCAATAACACCCCCTTCCCTATCCGTGATAATACCATGGCAGACGATTCAAAATGGGTATTGTGTCATACGAGGCAAGCCACGCAACTGCTTCTTGTTTGCACGGAAGTTTCACAGGTCTTCGCTTCATTTTCTACTGCAAAATTCTCAAGAACTACTAGGATACTAGTTTGACGGTTTTCATGATTAGCAAAATGTTACATGGGTTGAGTTTTTGGTTCGAGTGATATTACAGAAGAGCTTCAGGTGCATGGTGTATATTATCTGTATGTAGCACAGCATCGGAATTAGTGACCAGTGCCCACTGCCTATTGATTGACAGTAATTCCTTCCATTTAACAACACAGCGAATCAGGCGATATTTGAGCCGTGACTTTCTTATAAATAGTAAGGTATCGACCAGTAACGAGTGTTTCGCATCGCCTAGTCATCTGCGCTCTCCTGCTTGGTGAGCACTGACACGGGCCAACATCATAGACATGCAACTTAGTCTGGTAACCCTATGCAATGGTATGCAAAACCGTCTTACCTCAGTTTTGGAGTTATTGACAAGCTGTCTTAATAGCGCGTTCGTTTTTATTTTTTAGATTATGACTACCGCGTTTGACTTTGCACTAAAACGTGATTTTTTCGGGCCAAGAAAATAATAAAACCCAATCGGAAAGGATGCGTCAGGGAGGCATCAACCCTAAAACTATGTCCTTTCCCGTGTTTAGGGTTGATCCCTCCCAGAAATGCGTCCAGGTCGCTAGGGGTTTTATTGTTTTTCAGCCCTGCCCTAACAAATGCAGGTAGCAATTTATTGGGTGCAATATATTCTTTCAAAATGGACCCCGTGTAGTTTCATTCCAATGGATTTTTCGTAAAATGTATCGTGCGCGTTGAAAATAGTAGCCCGGAGGAAAATTTGTTAGGCGCCGAACGGGGCGCGGTAAGAACCACGAAGATACGAAATCGTCAACGCAACCGATATTTTCCTTTATTGTCCTGCGTCTGCTGTTACACAGTGTTTTGAGTGGCGGAACCAGACAAACTTGCGCAGCAGAACTGGGGTATCGACGGTTTTGCATACAATCGAATAGGGTTACCATACTATATTGCATGTCTATGATGTTGGCCCCACTGACACACTATACTGCTTGTCGAGGATTGGTGCACGACCACCTCGCGACTGTTTTTGTTCGCAATGCAACACCTGCTGCGCTGCGATCAACGACATTTGTCAACACGGCATTCTGTTCCCCTATGGCCCAACGTTTTCCGCTCAACGACAACCACCACCGCACAGCCTAGTTTCCCTCCCTTCCCTACCGCCTGTCGCCGCGCGACCACCACTCCGCTCCGTTTACTCCCCCTCCTCTTTCCTTTCCCTTCTCCATCCCTTTTCACCACTCTCCGCGCAATCTGCAACCCTACCGACCGAACTTTCTTCCTACGCGATGTTCCATCCACTGTCTGCAGCATTCCGCGCAAGCACGTTGAGCTGGCCCGATCCGCCCCACAGCTGCCACCCTTCAGAACCCCGATTCAATTCAGAACCACATGCGTCTCGGCTCAGCTCCACTCCACTCCACTCCACCGTCACAAACACCAACCGAACTCGCTCGAGACCCTCACAACTCAAACAGACTTGAGTCACGAACACCAACCGACACTCCATTCCCCTCCTGTGTCTTCGCTTGTCAGCTCTGCTGCGAATTTCACCAGGCGTGCGGAGCATGAGGCGTCGCAAAAGCCACTCCACGCAGAATTCCGCCTCATCCTCTTCCGCAAACGCCGCTCGTTTCCCGCTGACGTCGCTTCGCCCACCAGCAGCGGCAAGCCGCGGCCGCTGCTTCCTGAGCGGCGCGCGGAGCGATTAATCAGACTACTTAAAAGAGGCATCCTGAGAGCTAATTATCATGGCGACGCCGCGCGCCGAACCACAAAGCAACGGTCATAATTCGCCATACGATCACGAAGCGGCGGACGAAGGAATGCTCGCCGCCGCCGCCGCCGCCGCCGACCCCGCCGATGGCGCTGACGCTCCAATTCCCGTGACGCGGCGCGAGGAGTGGGGGTGGTATCTGTACGACGTGGCGGTGTCCGCGTTTTACTCGGTCGCGCTGCCCGTGTTCTTCCCGCTGCTGCTCAACCAGCTCGCCTCCGACGCCGCGTGGCAGCAGGCGGGGCAGCCGCCCGATTGCGGCGCCGACGGCGTCGCCGTGAATTGCGCGCAGTGCGTGCCGGGCGAGGGACCGCAGCTGCTGACGTCAGCTGGGTAGGTGAGAGAGAGCGTACGCGCGCTTCGAAGAACCGGGTGGGGACTCGGAGAGAGGATAAGTGGCGGGGGAAGGGGAGGACGGGGGAGGGGAGGCGGGTGGGGGTGGCGGAGATTGCTGTGGGCGCAGCGCGGGGGTGGCGGAGCATGATTGTGGGTTGTGGGGGTAGCAATGCGCTGGAGTTACGTTGGCAACGAGTCAGCGCGTGTCAGTTTTGGGGGATTCTCAAGATATGCCAGAGACGCTGCTCTCCCTCCCCACATTGGGCTGCCTCCGCTCTCCCGTCCCCCATCCCTCGCCTCTTCCCCTTCTCCCGCTCTGCAAATCCTTCCCTCACTCCCTTTCCCAATCCCTCTTCTCTCCCCCATCCCCCATCCCACTCTCCTGTCTGCAACTTTCTTCCCTTCCCCTTCCCGCTTCTCTCCCTCTCCCCCCCCCCTCCCCCCCCAACCGCTTACCCCCTTCCCCCCATCTCCCCCTCTTTCGTCCCCCTCCTTCTCCCCCCCCCCACCAGCTACTCGCCGCTGCCGAATCCCAAGGTGCAGGTGGGGGCGGGGAGCATAGACCCCGTGGCATTCGCTACAGTCACGCTGGGGCTGTCCGTGGTGTGCCAGGTGGCCGCCTTCATCACCCTCGGCCCCCTTGCCGACTATGGCATGGGCCGCATGCGGGTGAGTTGGAGGGGAGCTGGGTGGGTGGGTAGGGGGAAGAGGGGACGGGTGAGTGAGAGGATGGGAGGGCTTATGAGTCGCATGCAGGTAAGTTGGTGGGTAGATGGGTGCAAGGGTCACGCAGGGGCTGTCCGTGGTGTGCCAGGTGGCCGCCTTCATCACCCTCGGGCCCCTCGCTGACTATGGCATGGGGTGCATGCGGGTGAGTTGGAGGGTGGGTGGGTGGGGGACATGTGGGCAGGTGTGGATGGGGGATGGGGGTGGAGGGTGGCCGGATAAGTGCCAGGCGGGAGTGTGGGGTGGGGGTGGGCTGGTGGGTGGTCGGGGCTAGGAGGATGCGGGTGGGAAGGGGTGTTGCAAGAAGAGGATGATGATGACCCACGCGATGCGATGAGGCGTTTCATGGTGGGTGAGGCGTTTCATGGTGGGTGAGGCGTTTCATGGTGGGTGAGGCGTGTCATGCTTTGCCATGCCGTGTCATGCTTTGCCATGCCATGCGTTACCATACCAAGCCTTGCTATGCCAAGCCACTCCATGCCATCCCAGCCATGGCGGCACGACGGTGGGGGGTGGCACAGCCTTTCCCCTCGCCTTGAAACTCCCTCCTCACGTCTCTCCATCCCCTCTCTGCCACTCTTCCCCTGTGCAGCTCCTGCAGGGCGGCACAGCCATGGGCATAACAGCGTGTGCTCTGTGCATGGCGCTCGTGTCCCCGTCCCTCTGGTGGCTCTCAGGGCTGCTGCTCGTTATTGCCAATGTCGGCTACGGGCTCGCTATCGTGGCTTACTACAGGTGGGACTTCTGCACACCGCACAGGCTCTCACACGTGTGACCTGTGGACACAGCGTTGCCGCTCATTGCCCTCCTAACACTGACCTCCTCCCGCCGCTATTCTCGCATTCGCCACTCACACCATGCACACTTCTGTGCCATTGCTCCCACTCCCGCCTGCCATGCGCTGCTGCTCCCTCTGTGCCTGGTGGTGGCGGTGTGCTACAGGCAACCCTTAAACTAACTCAAATAACGTGTAATAGGCGCCTCACTCAACCCGTCTCTTCTCCTCCCCACCCCTCCCTTGCCCTCTACCTCCCCCGGCCCTATCCCACCCCTCACCGGCCGTCTGCCTATGCTGGTGGATGCGGCTCCTCTAGTCCTGCTTGCACCACACCTTGCAGCGAGCAGAACGACTCCCGACTCCACTCTAAAGTTCCCCTCCCCACCCTCCTCCATTGTTCCCCACCACGCCTGCCCAGCTATCTGCCTGTACTGGTGGATGCGGCCCCTCCGGTGCTGCTCGCAGCACAGCTTGCAGTGAACGCACAAGCAGAGCTCTCAGGTGCTGCTGCCGCTGCCAGCGTGGCTTGTGGTAGTGGCGGGCAGGAGGCAGCAGAAAAGCCAGCAGCAGTGGGGGGTGGGGAAGAAGGAGACAAGGCATTGGCGGGAGCGCTAACAATGCCGGTTGCAGAGACGCACGCCCATGCGGGCACGCAGGGCAGTCCCGAGGCATTCGTTGCCGTGGACTCGTGTGGGGGGGATTCCTGTGGTGAGGACTCTGGTGGGGGGAGTAAAGGCGATCTGTACACACCGCTTCTTATCGCCCGGGACCAGGTGACCGGTTACTGCTGCTGTTGGAGGGGTGCGAGAGACCTGTGTGTGTATGCATAGCTGCGTGGTGTAAACTGATTCTGTAGCTCACGCATCGTGCCCCGTTACTGGAGCTGCTTTGCCCTCTCAAATCTCTCGAGCTACTTACCCCTCCACTATCGCGTCTTTTCAGCACGTTCCCTCTTGCTGTTTTGAGTCGACTCAAACTTCACCTCTCTCACCCCAGCACCATTGCATGCTCACCACCTCTCTCAACCCACAACCTCTTTCATCCCCTGCTCCCTCATCTCCCTTCCCACAGGAGGAGAATCGCATGTCACTGACAGGCGTGGCCTGTGCCAGCATAGCCTCCATCCTCGCAACACTCCTCTCCTTCGCCGCCACCCTCCCCGTCTCCTCCGACTCCCTCAAGCTGCGCCTCGCCCTGCTCACCTGCTCTCTCTGGTGGCTCCTCTTCTCCCTCTTCACCTTCCTCTGGCTGCTCCCCCGCCCCGGCCCACCCTTCCCCCCTCCGCCCCCCCTCTCCACCTCCTCCCACTCCTCCGCTTGCCACCGTACCGCTTCCCACCTCGCCGCACGCCTCACCACCGCTCTCTCCTCCGCCTTCGCCGGCTGGCGGCACATGGGCCGGCTGTTCTTGGAGGCCCGCCGTTACCGCTCTGCCTTCGCCTTCCTGCTGTGCTACTTTATATATGCAGACGGTTACACCACAATCCTCCAAATCGGAGTCCTTTTCGGCGAGCGCGACCTCTGTGTGCCCACGGAAACGCTTATCTTCCTCGCCATCTGCGTGTCTGTCACTGCCACGCTCTGCACGCCGCTACTCTTCTACCTGCAGCGCTGCATGCACCCCGTGCTGACTAACAAAGCCATGGTCATGCTCATGCTCGCCGGCATGCTGCCATTGCCCCTCTGGGGGTTACTGGGTTACCTCACGCCGCCGCAGTCAGTGGGGCTGAAGGCGCCGTGGGAGCTGTTTGTGTTTGCGTGCTGGTTTGGGTTTTTTCTGGGCGGGCTGAACGCGTACTCGAAGACGCTGTTCATTGATATGATCCCGGTGGGCCGCGAGGCGGCGTTCTTCTCGCTCTACTCTGTGAGCGACAAGGGCTCGTCGTGGCTGGGGCCGTTCATAGTCGCCATTATAGTTCAGGTGGGTCTGCGTCTCCTTCTCCTCGTGATACGAAAGAATGTTTGAGGCACCCTAGAGAATTGTCTCATCGCATGCTCTACTCTGTGAGCGACAAGGGCTCCTCGTGGCTGGGGCCGTTCATCGTCGCCATCATCGTGCAGGTGCGTCTGCTTCTCCTCCTTGTGACGTGTGTGTTTTTTTTTCAAGCGCTCCAAAAAGTGCCGTGCTTGGCGCTCTACTCTGTGAGCGACAAGGGCTCGTCGTGGCTCGGGCCGTTCATTGTTGCCATCATCGTGCAGGTGGGTCTGCTTCTCCTTCCTCTTTTCTTCCCACTTCTCCTTTCTCTTTTCTTCCCATTTCTCTAACTATCCATGTGCATGCCTTGCCCTGCTGTGCCAGGCATCACACCACACCTAACCAAACCAGCCAACCTGCATTCACAAGCTCACAATATCAATCGCAATTGTCTCGTTACAACTGCATCCAACTGCCTCCCTGCCTGCCTGTGCCATTGCAGATCACGGGTGAGCTCCGTCCCAGCTTCCTTTATGTGTTCCTGGTCATCCTCATTCCCTTAGTCTGCCTGCACTTCTTTGTCAACCACCAGCAAGGCATTGTGGATGCCGGTAGGGCTGCACATCAACTGCACCAGGTGGCAAACCATGAGGATCAATGAATGAACATGGAATGTTTGATTCTAATTTATGAATTTGTCATGCCAAATGGTGGGAATTGTGATGAATTCACAGCTCGCCAAAAGAGGAGACGGTGCAGCGAAGTTGAGAATCAAATGGAGCACTGAACTGAGGACGCGGCACATGTTTTCATCTTACCATGATCGAGGGAGAATCGATGCCCATACACCGATTCTCCCCAATCAATCGGCACACCGATGTGCACACACTGCAAATTTGCAGTGTGGTAAACACGCCGAGCCTTGGGTGCCAGGGTCGAAATTGCTGGGTCGGCCAGGTAGGCCCCGCAACAAAATGCACCAACGAATTAGTCGTTAACCATTCAGAGTGACGAACAGCCTGTCGTTATCCAATCACTATTGATCTGCGACCGTTGGCGACGCCGATCGATCGCGTCTGTCACCTGTGGCGCGATGTGCTCTCTCGCCAACCCAAACACACGATCGATGTGTGCACCATGGCACATCGATCGTGCGAGCTGCAGGTGCCACCATTTTGAGTACCAGTTTACTGTATATTCTCGACGTTTTGCGAAAAAACGGATACCAGCCATTAGCGAAGTCGCCAAATCACTGTACAAGCGCCACATCGATCCCCACCCACGATCGATCGTGGCAAAATGAAAACAGGTGCCGCGTCCTGAAGGACTTCGTGCCTAGTCACTTGTGTAGTCTCTCAAATGCATGTCAATTTCTCACCAATGAAGTAAACGAGGGTAATCACAACAACCTCCTGCTACACTTTGCGAACGTACTCAACCGTATAAAAGTCAAAAGACGGTTACATGTTTGAAACCTACACGAACTGTGTGTTGTGCTTTAAGTCGGTGAATGTGCGGTGGGCGAGGTGGTACGAGGCCCAGGCGACGCATCGTGTCGTGTCAGAAATGCATCGCGAACCACGTGGAACGATTGCAGCCGTTTCTTTCGTCACATTCGAGGTGGGGGGGACTCACGAGTGGTCTGATTAACGAAGGGTTACTTGAGTACAAGTGACGAAAGTAATTCATGGGGCTGAATTCGCTGAAGTGCGTAACAGGTCCAGGAATTTCTGATCCGCGAGTTGTGTCTTGAATTGCGGCTGCCTGGCAACTAATTTCGTGGGTGTTTGATTAGCGTCGTACAGTACGCGAGACACAGTGAATTATAGATTCGCCTTCCATGTCGCCCGTCGTCGCTTCCATACTGCCAGAGCGAGTCGCCATGCTGGCCGTCGCTTCAGCCGCTCCCTGCGCGCCTGCGGCAACTTCAAGGCGGCTACCCACCGCACCCACCGTCGTTTCGAGCCGCCACCACCCACAGCAGCGCGAAGGCAGATGCCAGTTCCACCGCGCGCACCGACGGCATCGCGTCCTGCGACGCCAGAACTCGCTTCAGCGAGCGATCGGGCATTCCGTGCGACCAGGTGCTTCCGTACCGTCGCCTGCGACGCCGGCGACGTCGCCCAGGGCGAGCAGCTCCGCCGCCGCGTCGTCGTCGACACCGTCGTCGTCGTCGTCGGCCGCTGTCGCGCGGCCGAGTCGCACGCCGCACAGCGGGTACCACTACGCGCCGAGCAGCAGCAGCATCAACGGCAGCGGCAGCGGCAGCGGCGCGGATCAGCTGTTCTTCGAGGGGTGGTACTTCAAGGTGTCGCTTCCCGACTCGCGCGACTCCTTCGCCTGGATGTACTCCGTTGAAAACCCCTCCGCGCCTCCTCCTGGAGCCTCCGCGCCTTCTTCCGCAGCCCCCTCCGCGCCTTCCCCTGGCGCGCGGAAGGGAGGTCTGCCGTGCGTGATGATGCAGGCGATGGGGCCGGCGGTGGACAGGCAGGCGGAGTGGGGGCGCGGGGAGGCGGGCGCGGAGGGCGGGGGAGATGCGAGGGACTATGTGTATCAACAAACGGCGGACACGGGACGATTTTGGGGAGGTGAGAGCGGGGGCAAGGAGTAGGCGGAAAAGGGAAGGTCGTTTCCACCCCCCCTCACCCCCCCTTCCCCTCCCCCTCTCCTCTCCCTGCCTAGGTAATACCCCTGGCGGAGTGTTCCTTCCTCTTGTTCCTTGGCGCCTCTTCTCCTACTGCCCGCGAGAGCCTAGCCTAGTCCTCTCTTCGCGTAACCTTTTTCAGCCCCCACCCCACCGTCCCCTATGCCCTCAACACATGACAATATCTCATCTGCTTCTCCCTATTCCGTTCCCTTTCCCCCGCTCCATCTCCCCCCTTTCTTTCCCCCCCCCCCCTCTCGCCTCCGCAGCGAGGCACGAGTTGGCGCTAGGGGCGTGCTTTCAGCCCAGGGAGGGGCAGGTGTCGCCTCTGGGGGAGGTGCCACCTCAGGTGGGTGGTGCTGGCAGCAGGGGAGGTGCAATTGGTAGGCTGAGTTCATACACAATCTTTATGTACGTCTACACACCACATCCGTAAACACATCTGGTCACCACCACTATGTATAAACACATCTGGTTACCAGTAGCTGTAAACACATCTTGTTACCACTATCTGTAAACACATCTGGTTACCACTATCTGTAAACACATCTTGTTACCACTATCTGTAAACACATCTGGTTACCACTATCTGTTAACACATCTGGTAACCAAACCACTATCTGTAAACACATCTGGTTACCACTATCTGTAAACACATCTTGTTACCACTATCTGTAAACACATCTGGTTACTACTATCTGTAAACACATCTGGTTACCACTATCTGTAAACACATCTTGTTACCACTATCTGTAAACACATCTGGTTACTACTATCTGTAAACACATCTGGTTACCACTATTTGTAAACACATCTTGTTACCACTATCTGTAAACACATCTGGTTACTACTATCTGTAAACACATCTGGTTACCACTATCTGTAAACACATCTTGTTACCACTATCTGTAAACACATCTGGTTACTACTATCTGTTAACGCATCTGGTTACCACGTGTTAACACATCTTGAGGGGTACACACTGTGCTCAGAAGAGACTTTTCCTTGGTTGGGTGGAGAGAGAGTGGTGGTTGGATGGGAGTGAGGTGGAAAGAGACAATATGAGGAGCAGTGGGGCTGTGGAGTGAGGAGCACGGGGGGTGTGGGTGAAAGCAGGCTGAGGCAGCCTCAGCGCTGAGCTGACCCTTATGTGCGGCCACATGTGGCACGAGTGTGAGTGTGAGTGTCAGTGTGAGTGTTGTGTGAGTGATAGTGTTAGTGTTAGTGTGAGTGTGACTGGCTTTCGTACGCCCTGCATGTGTGTGTGCCGTGTGGTGTCTCTTGTGTACTATGTGCTGCTGGGAGTGGTGGTCAAGCTTGCAGTGTGTCTGCCAGTGGGGTGGAGGCTGTTGAAACCGAAAGCTGTCCAGCTACTTCCTCACATGTGGCTTGACTTTTGAGGCGCCTCAAAAAGAGTGGTGGTCAAACTTGCAGTGTGTCCGTCTGTGGAGTTGAGGTTGCTGATACTGAAAGATGTCAAGCTCCATTCTTACTACATGTGGGATGTGTGAGCAACAGGAGTTTGAGGCAAGGGTGCAGTATGGATTCCAGGTCACGCCCTTCCTGCACCAAGGCACGCTCAAGAACCAAGATGATGGCAGGTGATGGTGATGGTGATGGTGATGGTGGTGGTGATGGTGATGGTGATGGTGATGGTGGTGGTGGTGGTGGTGGTGGTGGTGGTGGTGGTGGTGGTGGTGGTGGTGGTGGTGGTGGTGGTGGTGGTGGTGGTGGTGGTGGTGGTGGTGGTGGTGGTGGTGGTGGTGGTGGTGGTGGTGGTGGTGGTGGTGGTGGTGGTGGTGGTGGTGGTGGTGGTGGTGTTGGTGATGGTGATGGTGATGGTGATGGTGGTGGTGATGGTGATGGTGATGGTGATGGTGATGGTGGTGGTGGTGGTGATGGTGATGGTGATGGTGATGGTGATGGTGGTGGTGATGGTGATGGTGATGGTGATGGTGATGGTGGTGGTGATGGTGATGGTGATGGTGATGGCGATGGGGATGGTGATGGTGACGGTGATTGTGATGGTGGTGGTGATGGTGATGGTGGTGGTGATGGTGATGGTGGTGGTGATGGTGATGGTGGTGGTGATGGTGATGGTGATGGTGATGGTGATGGTGATGGTGATGGTGGTGGTGATGGTGGTGCTGCTGTGCCTGCTAATGGTTGAGTGCTCTCACAAAGCTTGTTCTCTGCTCACCTGCTCCCTGCTTGGCTTGGCTGCACGCGAGTTCTGAGCATCATTGCTCCCTCTCTCTCTCTCCACAATCCCACTGGCCTCTCAATTGTCATCATCCCTCCCCTCCTGTTTGGCCACATCTTGCTATGATACTCAAAACTCCATTGTCAAATTTCTGTTTTACCATCCCACTCTTCTCCCAAGCAGCATAGTGCGGTGGCGCTACGAGGTGACGCCGATCGATGGATGGGGCCCCAGGGGCGGCACACAGCTGTCAACCGCTGGTTGGCTCTCTGCCCTGCCAGCTTTTGAACCGCACTGGCAGGTGAGGTGACGTGGCAGGCAGGTGAGGTTGACGTGGCAAGTGTTAGAGATTTCAGGTAGGAAATAGTCGCGGGAAGTCGCTTTTCTTCTAGAATTGACTGAAGAGACTGCACTTGTAGATGCAGCTGATGTGGCAGCTGATGTGGCAGCTGATGTGGCAGCTGATGTGGCAGCTGATGTGGCAGCTGATGTGGTAGCTGATGTGGCAGCTGATGTGCTACCTTGTCATCACCCCATCACCTCACCCTGCACCCCTCCCCACCCGTCGTACCTCCTGTCATACATCCCCCCACACCCACCTCTCCGCCCTAGGTGTGCATGGCGATGGGGCGAGCGAGCGGGTGGGTGGAGTGGCAGGGGCACCGCATTGACTTCACGGACGGCATCTCCTACTCTGAGAAGAACTGGGGCGGCGCCTTTCCCCTCAAGTGGTTCTGGGTATGATTACATGCCTTTGGGGGGTCAGGGCGTATGATGATGACAGCCCTTAGGGGAGTGGCAAGGGCACCGCATTGAGTTGACAAACGCCATCACCTACTCTGAGAAGAACTGGGGCGACGCTTTCCCCCTCAAGTGGTTCTGGGTATGGCTCTGTTGGTTGCTGAGTTTTGAGGCGTGTCAAATAGGAGTTGGATTTGAAGTCTGTAGACAGAGGAGCCTAGCTTCAGCTTCATGAGTCACTGAGACTCGTGAGGCGCCTCAAAAGTGAAAACTTGTGAGGCGCCTCAAAAGTTTCTCATGTCTAGTGCAGCCCAGCTTCAGCTTCATGATTCATTGCGAGCCCTGCCGGGTTTTGAGTGAATGGCAGCAATGCCCTGCCGGGTCCTGGTTGCAGTGCTGTGCAGTGGAGGAATACGAGCAAGCTGGGGGAAGATGGGGGATTCGTGTTGGCATGTCATTGACAACCTTGCTCCTTGAACCCCACTTTTGTTTATGCCGTCCCTGGTTTGGGAATGGAATGTGCTCCGTGCGATGAATGGCCTCGGCGTTCTATTCGTGCCATCTGCTGCTCCTCACCTCTTCTCTCCTCCTCTCTTTTCTCCCCGTTTCCCACCTCTTTTCCTTGCCATTTTCGCCTGTTTTCTGCTCTTGTTCTCCACGTTACACGCTCTTTACTCCCCCTTGCCTCTTCTCCCCCCTTTCCCCCACCCAGACCCAGTGCAACGGCTATATTGAAATCACTTTTTTGAGAATTCTCATAAGTGATTTCAATACTCCTCCTCACCCCTTCTCCCCGCTTTCCCCCACCCAGACCCAGTGCAACGGGTGGTCGCACTTATTGTTGGGGTCCGCAGTGACTTTTGAAGCAACTCCAAACTCACCTCTTCACCTCCTCTCCCCTTCCCCTCCCTCCGGCCCCACATACCAGATGTAATGCAATGCTGTGGTCGGATGTGTCTGCAGTGACTTTTGTGGACTCAAACTTACCTCTTTGCCTCGTCTCCCCTTCCCCTCCCTCTTTCCCACCTGTCAGATCCAGTGCAATGTGTGGTCGCACGTGTCACTGGGGTCGGCAGTGGCGCTCACAGTGGCAGGAGCAAAGCGGCAGCTCAACCTGCCCCTCGTGGCCAACTCCATAGAGGAAGTGGGCATGGTGAGATGTGGTGACGTCGCATGGTGAGATGGAGGAGGCGTAGTGCCAACTTGATGGAGGAAGTGGGCATGGTGAGACGCAGGGGTATGCTGCGAGAGAGGCAGGGGTATATTCTTGCGGTGCCTCAAATTTGCGCTCAAAGTGGCGGGGGCGAAGCAACACTACCACTACTCGCCAACTCAATGGAGGAAGTGGGCATGGTGAGGCATGGTGAGGCATGGTGAGGCATGGTGAGGCATGGTGAGGCAAGGTGATATAGAGGGGGCATGGTGAGATGAAAGGGACATGGTGGCATCGTTTTCTCCCAACCTTCTCTTCCCACTTACGCTCCACTTTCGCCCTGTATCTTGTCCGTGCCATGGCAGGTGGGGCTGCACTTGCAGGGCCAGTTCATCGAGTTTGTGCCCAACAGGGGCGCCGTGGAGTGGCCGCTCCCTCTGCGTCCTCCATTTCAAAACGCCTCAACAACCCCCCTTTAACTTTGTCTCCCACGTGTGCTGAGTGCGGCAGGTGGGCCTCCATTGGCAGGGGCAGTTCATCGAGTTTGTGCCCAACAGGGGCGTGGTGGAGTGGAAGGTGCAGCCGTGGGGCAGCTGGCGCATGCATGCTCAGAACGAGCAGTACGAGGTGAGGAGGAGGAGCAGTATGGAGGTGAGAACGGGTAGTGTGAGGTGATAAGGAGCAGTTTGAGGTGAGAGGGAGTCGTGGGAGATGACGAGTGGTGTGAGGCGAGGGGGAGTATTACGAGGTGAAAACAAGCAGTGAGAGGTGAGGAGGACTGGTATGAGGTTTGCTTTAGGAGTAGGTTGGTTGCTTCTTTCACTTTCACTTAAATCGCCCCTCACTGCAAACAGGGAGCAGTGGGGACTTGTGCCAGCCCCACTTTTCTTTCCCCACCATCTCCCCAAGAAACTGTGCAAGCACACACATTGCTGCGCGACCAGGGCAGTGGGCACGCTGCTACTTCACACCGCTGCTGCACAATAGTGCAACTTCACATGCCCCCCAAACGCTCTTTTCCTTATCCCCCTGTTCACTCCCTTCCCTTTTTCTCAGGTGACAGTGGAGGCGCACACACTACCAGGTGACAGCGGCACGCCCCTGAGGGCGCCCACAGCGGAGGGCATGAGATTCTTCTGCAAGGACTCGTTCGACGGGCGGGCGAAGGTGGAACTACGGCAGCGCTACTCAGGGCAGGTGGGGCTTGGGAGGCTTACGGTATTGAAGCATGGCAAGGTACATCTCTCCTTGCAGCTCTCTTACGGTATTGAAGCATGGCAAGGTGCATCTCTCCTTGCAGCTCTCTTACGGTATTGAAGCATGGCAAGGTGCATCTCTCCTTGCAGCTCTCTTACGGTATTGAAGCATGGCAAGGTGCATCTCTCCTTGCAGCTCTCTTACGGTATTGAAGCATGGCAAGGTGCATCTCTCCTTGCAGCTCTCTTACGGTAATGAAGCATGGCAAGGTGCATCTCTCCTTGCAGCTCTCTTACGGTATTGAAGCATGGCAAGGTGCATCTCTCCTTGCAGCTCTCTTACGGTATTGAAGCATGGCAAGGTGCATCTCTCCTTGCAGCTCTCTTACGGTATTGAAGCATGGCAAGGTGCATCTCTCCTTGCAGCTCTCTTACGGTATTGAAGCATGGCAAGGTGCATCTCTCCTTGCAGCTCTCTTACGGTATTGAAGCATGGCAAGGTGCATCTCTCCTTGCAGCTCTCTTACGGTATTGAAGCATGGCAAGGTGCATCTCTCCTTGCAGCTCTCTTACGGTATTGAAGCATGGCAAGGTGCATTTCTCCTTGCAGCTCGTATGATAATTCCCCATCTGGATCAGCCAGCCTCTGCTTTCCCTTCTATCACCTTCTCCCCTCCCTCACCACTGCGCCTCCCAATTCCTCGCATTTAATCTCCGCCCACGGATAAAGAGGGCAGAAGAGCAGAGCAGCAGAAAGGGCATTGTACATCTGAAAGAGTGCGTCCTTCTAGAACCTGTCACTTTGCTGCACCTCCCTCAATCAATCCATCAAATCCCCCCCACCTCCCTCAACCAATCCACTACATCCCCCCCACCTCCCTGCAGCTTCTCCTGGAGGAACGGAGCAGCAGAATCAAGGCAGCCTACTGAGAGTGGCCATGTTAGCTCTCTGCATCCCTTGGTTACAACAAGATTCCCCATGCCATCAACCCCCCTCTTGCTCCCACCAGATGCTTCTGGAGGCTCGAACCACGGCAGCAACACTGCAGGCTTTTGCGAGAATCTCTGTTTTTCATTCGAATAATGTTCCCCATGCCACCTGCCCCCTCCCACGCTCCCACCAGTTACTCCTGAGGGCGGAGAGCACAGCAGCAGCGGTGGAGGTGGGGGGAGGGCCGTGGTGGGGGGTGTGGGAGCAGAGGAGCCGCATGAACCCCGCTCAGAGCGCCGTCATCTCACTGCCTCTCAACCTCTCCTCCCTGCTCCCACCCTCTCTGCAACCACCCGGCCTGTGACCCTGCCATGTGACACCATGCTGGCCTGTGCCATCACCATGCCTGTCCTCATGCGAAGCTGTCCCATCGTGCAGCATATGAACACATTCATTATTTTGTACTGTACTGTGTAATGTAACAGAATATTCATACTGGAATTTGTTCTTCGGGTCGGTACCACTCTTGCACATGGCTGCAATGAAACGGAGAGCATCACCTGTGGGCTGTATTGGGTACCAATACTATGTGCTCTGTGTAGCAGTGTTACTGAGACTTTCTAGGTACTTGTACGGTATTGTCAAATGTTGTAGCCTATAGTGAGGTTTGTCTTAGGGGGTACAAAACTTAGGGTTAGCTATATGTACCCCAACCAACATCAATGCATCATCCATTCCTCATTCTGACATGGTATCAGTTAGGTTAGGATCCTGTGGGATCCCGTTCCTCCGTTCTCCGTTCGTATCTCCCGAGCCTGATCCTACCTCTCGTTCGTACCGGTTCCGTTGTTACCGCGCCTAGTGCCGAGCCTAGCGCCCTTCCCCCCGTCGCCTAGCGCCCTTTCCCCCCCGTCACGTCGCGCCCTTTCCCCCCGTTGCGTCGCGCCCGTTCCCCCCCGTCGAGTCGCGCCCTTTCCCCCCGTCGCGTCGCGCTCTTTCCCCCCGTCGCGTCGCGCCCTTTCCCACCGTCGCGTCGCGCCCTTTCCCCCCGTCACGTCGCCCTGCCCCGTCCCGTCGCCCTGCCCCGTCCCGTCGCCCTGCCCCGTCCCGTCCCGTCGCCCCGTCCCGTCCCGTCGCCCCTGCCCCGTCCCGTCCCCGTCCCGTCCCGTCGCCCTGCCCCGTCCCGTCCCGTCCCGTCCCGTCCCGTCGCCCTGCCCCGTCCCGTCCCGTCGCCCCGTCCCGTCCCGTCGCCCCTGCCCCGTCCCGTCCCCGTCCCGTCCCGTCGCCCTGCCCCGTCCCGTCCCGTCCCGTCCCGTCCCGTCGCCCTGCCCCTGCCCCGTCCCGTCGCCCCGTCCCGTCGCCCTGCTCCGTCACGTCGCCCTTCCCCGTCCCGTCGCCCTGCCCCGTCGCGTCGCCCTTCCCCGTCCCGTCGCCCTGCCCCGTCGCGTCGCCCTGCCCCGTCGCGTCGCCCTGCCCCGTCGCATCGTGCCCGCCCTTTCCCCCGTCCCGTCGACCCTACGCCCTGGCCCGTCGCTCTAGCCCGCTCTTCCGCTGCGACTAAGTCCCACCTGCACCCTAATTTGCCTCTTACCTCCTGCTGTTACTCGCCTGCTCGTTCGCGTTAGTTTTCGCTATGGCGACTCCGCGAGTTCTTCGTTTCGACGCTGACGGTAGACCTCTTGACTTTTCCGTCTGGCTTCTTCGTGCTCGCCGTCTGTTAGAGAGTCAAGTCCAGGGGGGCGAGACCCTCTGGTCGCACGCTACTGGTGACCTCCCCGAGCCCCCCGAGCCTGCCGCTTTAGGTCCTGCCCCTGACGATGCTGCTACGGCTCGCTTTGCCCGTCAGCGCGCTGACAGGACGGCTTGGACGTCACGTGACGCTGCGGCCTGCATCGCACTCAGCAGCCTCCTCCCTGAGTCAGAGGAGGTCCACTTCACTCAGGTTCGCACCGCTGCTGCGTACCTCACTGCGATTAAGGCCCGCTACTCTACTCCCGCTACTGTCTCTCTTGGCCGTCTTTTCCTCCCGTTCCTGTTTCCTGATCTCGCCTCGTTTGAGCGCTCTGCTGACTTGATCGCTCACCTCCGCTCGCTCGACGCTAGTTACCGCGCTGCTTGCACTGAGGCACAGCTTGCACTGCTTCCTCCCCCCATGGCGATTACTATCTATTTCATCGCCACTAGCCTCCCTGACCGCCTTGCCTCCGTACGTGACGCGCTCCTGCTGAAGCACCCTAGTGAGCTGACAGTTGAGGTCCTTGAGTCTGCGCTCAAGGACGTCGAGAGCAACCTTCGCTCGGTAGCTGCCGCCTCTGGTGCTGTGCCCCCCCCACTCTTCCACGGGTGCACAGTCCCGCAGTTACCCACCTTCACTGCCTCTCTTGCCACTGCCGCTACTGACGCGACTGCAGCTGCTGCTACGACTGCGTCGCGGTCCCGCGGCAAGGGGGGCAAGAAAGGTGGTTCTGGTGGAGGTGGAGGCGGAGGTAGCGGAGGTAGTGGTGGGAGTGCAGCGTCTGGAGAGACCTCTCGTGCAGCGGCTGGTGACTCCACTGCGCCTGCTGGTGGTGGCGACGCCCGAGCTCGTCAGTCGTCTCCTGTACTGCCGGCCCCGCTAGGTGGAGCAGCGGCGTGGTACCAGGCTCAGCGTCAGCAGCGGCTTCAGCAGCAGCAGCAGCCCCTCTCCTCCCAGCAGCCTCAGCAGCAGCAGCGTCAGCAGCTGGCTCCGGGGTCGGGGCTGCGTCAGCCCCAGCGTGGTGCTGCTTACCCTCCCTGCACCTATCAGGTTCTGACAGGTCCTCGTCGGGGCCACCCTTGTGGCCGCTTTCACCCCCCTGGTCAGTGCTTTGCTCAGCTCACTGACACGGTCCGGTTGGCCTACGGGGTTGGCGGTCCTGCCCTTGACTGGCTTCCTCTGGTTCAGCGCTACGGCTCCGCTCTGTGGGGCATGTCTGCTGAGCAGTTAGTTGATCTGATTGGTGCTCCTCATGCTATGTATGCTGTTGTTGACTCTAGTGTTTCTGACTCTGCTTACTCTGGTGTTGTTAGCTTAGGTGCTAGCCTTGCTCAGTTGCCTGTTGCTAGTGTAGGTTCTTGTGTAGACTCTAGTCCAGCGGCTACCTCAGAGGACGGTTCGCTGTCGTTCACGCTGGACTCTGGAGCCTCTCACTGCTTCTTTCGTGACAGCACGACACTTACGCCTCTTCCTGCGCCTGTTTCTGTGGCGCTGGCTGATCCCACTTCGGGACCAGTCACCGCGCGTCACACTACCACCTTGCCGTGTCCGGCTGCTCCTTCTGGGTCTCTCACTGGGTTTCACGTCCCCTCGTTCTCCCGGAACTTGGTGGGCGTGCGACCCCTTGTGAGTCAGCACGTGGGTGTGTGGTTTGAGCCTTCTGGAGAGACTGCGGTGTGTGTTGACGGGGACTCTTACCAGCCCCTCGCCACTTTTGCTGCTGAGCCGGGCTCCGGTCTCTACACTCTTCACACTGGCCCGCGCGCTCAGCAGCGACTGCAGCAGCAGCAGCAGCCGCAGCAGCAGCAGCAGCAGCAGCCGCACCAGCAGCAGCGGCAGCAGCAGCAGCCGCAGCCACAGCGGCCGCCGTCACAGCAGCCCCTCCTCCCAGTTCCTGTCCCTCCCCCTAGTCTCCTCCCTGCGTCTCACCAGGTGGTTCCGTCCTCTCAGGTTGTCGCGTCCAGTCCAGTCGCTGCGTCTTGCTCCTGTCGGTCGCTTGCCCACCCCACCGTTCTGTGGCACCACCGGCTGGGACACCCTTCTCTTCCACGTCTGCGTGCTATGTCTAGTCAGCGTCTGGTCTTAGGTCTCCCGCGTGTCTTGCCGTCGCTGCCGCCGTCCCTTGCACCACCGTGCGGTCCTTGCGTCGAGGGTAGGCTGCGTGCCACCCCTCACTCCTCCTCCCTTCGTCCGGCCACCGAGCCTTTTGAGACACTGCACTTGGACGTCTGGGGCCCCTCTCCTCGCCCTGGCCCTGAGCGTGAGCGTTTCTTTTTGGTGGTCGTTGACGACTACTCCCGCTATACCACAGTGTTCCCCCTGGCGAGGAAGTCTGAGGTGACTTCTACGCTGATCAGGTGGTTGCTTACCACCCAGGACACTCGTGGTCGTCGTGTCAGCTGTCTCCACTCCGACCGCGGGGGCGAGTTTCGCTCCGGCATTCTCGCTGGATTCTGTCGCGAACAGGGCATTCGTCAGTCCTGGACGCTTCCGGAGTCCCCACAGCAGAATGGGGTTGCTGAGCGTCGCATAGGCCTGGTCATGGAGATTGCCCGCACCTCCTTGACTCACGCCCGTGCCCCCCATTTCCTGTGGCCATACGCAGTCAGGTACGCCGCGCACCAGCTGAACCTCTGGCCACGCGTCTCTCGGCCGGAGGCTTCACCGACCAGTCTTTGGACAGGGTCCCCTGGTATCGCGTCGAGGTTTCGTGTCTGGGGGTGCTTGGCTCTTGTCCGCGACACCTCCGCGGACAAGCTCTCGCCTCGCGCCGTTTCTTGTGTCTTCCTTGGTTTCCCTGAGGACTCCTCTGACTTCACCTTTTACCACCCTCCCTCTCACCGGTTCTTTGACTCCCGTGACGTCCGTTTCGAGGAGTCCACCCCCTACTACGTCAGGTACCCCAGTCGAGGTCTCCCGGTTCCTCCTCCCCCCCTCTTCCTGACAGCCGCTCCCCCGCCTGCTCCCCCGGTACAGCCTCCCCCCCCTGGTCCAGCCCCGTCTGGTGTGTCTCAGGCTAGCCCTCCCCCTTCGGTAGCCCCCCCTGTACAGCCTCCCTCCCCACAGTCTTCCTCGCCGCCTCCTGCAGGTGCTCCCTCTCGGGAGGTTGGTCCTGCGACTGTCCCTGTACAGGTCTCTGGTTCTGGGGGTGCTGGAGTTGGAGCTGAGCCGCGGGTTGCAGAGGACTCTTGTCTTCCGGGGGCTGGTACTGGTCGTGCGGAGTCTGGGGGTGCTGGTGCGGAGTCTGGGGGTGCTGCGTCTGGGGGTGAGGGTGTTCCTTCGGTTTCTGGAGAGCCTGGGTCTGGAGCTGGTGTTGGTGCTGCCTCTGGGGGTGGTGTGCTTGGTGCTTCGGAGGTCGACTCTGGGGCTGCCGCTGCCCCGGACACTACTCCTTCCCCCCACCCCTACCCGACCAGGTTCCAGGCTCGTGTTCGCCGTGCTCGTGAGGAGCAGCTGGAGTTGGAGAGAGAGGAGAGAGAGTTGCAGCGGCTCGAGGAGCAGGAGCGACAGCAGCAGGGGCAGCAGCCGCTGGAGCAGCAGCAGCCGCAGCAGCCGCAGCAGCAGCAGCTGCCGTCTCCTCCTCCTGTCTCGGGTCTTCGGACCCTTGGTCTCCCCTCTCCCTCTCCTTCCTCCTCCCCCTCTCCTCCCGTCTCTGGTCCTTCGCTTCCTCCTCCTGACCCCTCTCCCGCTGTTTTCCCTCGTTCTCAGTCTTCGTTGTCCCCTCCTTCTTCTCAGACTTGGGCCTCTCGTCGCTCCCCTCGTGCTCGTCCCTCGTCTCCTGTTCCCTTCACTGACCTTCGTACTGCCTTACTTCGTTCTAGTCCACCTCGTCCGTCTCCGTCTGTGCTTCCGTCTCCTCCTGAGTCGGCTCTCACTGCGTCGCTCCCTACTCCTGTCACAGACTACTACCGCACGTACCGTCCTCTTCTCTCTCGTGTTCTCGCCTCGCTTGTTACTCACCCTCGTGCCTCTGTGTCCTCTGTGTCCGCTCTTACTGCCGCAGTCACTGACTTTGCCTCTACCCGCCGCCTTGACTTCGCCACCGCTCTTGTGGCTGCTCCTCCTTCCAGTCCTCTGGCCGTCGGGGGTGTGTCTGCCCTTGGCTGTGACGCCCTAGAGGACAGGCAGTTTGAGCTAGAGTTCCTGGCCGCCGCTTCCCCTCATCTCTGTGCCATGCTCCTCGCCCCTGAGGGTGACCCCGACGCCCTTGACATTCCGACTCCTCGCACTTACGCTGAGGCAGTGTCAGGGCCTTGGGCCTCTCAGTGGAGAGCTGCCATGGACGCAGAGATGGCCTCCTACAGATCCACAGGCACCTACGTCGATGAGGTTCCCCCTCCGGGGGCGAACGTAGTCGACGGCATGTGGATCTACAAGGTGAAGCGGCCACCGGGATCTCCTCCGGTCTTCAAGGCACGCTACGTGGCTAGAGGTTTCAGTCAGCGCGAGGGAGTTGACTTCTTTCAGACCTTCGCGCCCACCCCGAAGATGACCACTCTTCGGGTGTTACTACACGTAGCAGCACAGAGAGACTACGAGTTACACTCTCTTGACTTCTCTACTGCTTTCCTTCAGGGCAGTCTTCACGAGGAGGTCTGGTTGCGTCGTCCCTCTGCCTTCACTGGCTCTTTCCCTCCTGGGACCCAGTGGAGGCTGAGGCGACCGGTTTACGGTCTTCGTCAGGCTCCTCGTGAGTGGCACGACACCCTGCGTTCTACCCTGTCTGACCTTGGGTTCCAGCCGTCTTCTGCTGACCCGTCGCTGTTCGTTCGTCGTGGCCCCACACCTTTCTTTGTTCTGGTCTACGTTGACGACCTTGTTTTCGCCACCCCTGACAGGGTTGCTTTGGCACACGTGAAGTCCGAACTGCAGAAGAGACACACCTGCACTGATCTTGGTGAGCTGCGCCACTACCTTGGCCTGCAGATCACCAGGGACAGAGCTGCTCGCACCATTACACTTTCACAGTCGCACATGGTGCAGCAGGTCCTTCAGCGGTTCGGGCTTCAGCACTCCACAGTACAGCGCACACCTCTTGCTGTTGACCACAGACTCACTGGACCCTTTCCTGACGAGCCGTTCGAGCCTAGTGGTCCCTACGCAGAGCTTGTGGGTTGCCTCATGTACCTGATGACTTGTACTCGCCCGGACCTCGCCTTCCCTCTCAGCGTTCTTGCGCGCTTTGTTGCGCCAGGGAGACACCGTCCTGTTCACTGGACAGCAGCTGTGAGGGTGGCGAAGTACCTAGCGACGACGTCAGGCGTGGGGCTAGTTCTTGGAGGGCAGCAGTCTGTCGTACTTACTGGTCACTGTGACTCCTCTTACGCTGACGACGCTGAGACTCACAGGTCTACTCAGGGGTACTGTTTCAGCCTGGGTTCTGGAGCTGTTTCCTGGCGGTCCACGCGCTCCTCTTCGGTCTCGACCTCTACAGCTGAGGCTGAGATCTACGCTGGTGCCATGGCGGCACAGGAGCTGCGTTGGTTGACGTTCTTGCTCACCGACCTTGGTGAGCGGCCGAGCTCTGCACCGACCTTGTTCACTGACAACAAGGCGTCTATTCTCCTTTGTCGAGAGCCACGACTGGAGAGCAGAGTGAAGCACATTCACGTCAGGTACTTTCTTCTGCGAGAGTTGCAGAGGCGTGGACAGGCTCGCTTTGAGTTTGTGGAGTCCGAGGCCAACACTGCAGACATCTTCACCAAGGCGCTTCCGCCTTGTGACCACCAGAGGTGCTGTGTGCAGTTAGGCCTTGTTGACACTGGTTCTCGTGTTGCTTAGGCTTGAGTGTACTGTTTACTTTGCTTTCTATATACCTCTGTTACTTCTTGGACTGGCCTTGTGGCCACTGTTGTTTGTGCTCAGACTGTGTGGTGACGTTGTGATCCACCCTGAGCTTCGTTTCTTGGACTGGTCTTGTGACCGTACTCGTTTGGTTCTGCTAGACACCCCTCACTTAGGCTATGGGGGTGTGTCAAATGTTGTAGCCTATAGTGAGGTTTGTCTTAGGGGGTACAAAACTTAGGGTTAGCTATATGTACCCCAACCAACATCAATGCATCATCCATTCCTCATTCTGACAGGTATGCATTCCCTCGAATCAAAGCCAGCCATACAATGCAACCCTCAAAGCCAACCATTCCCATTGAGGAAGAGTATGAAAAGCAAGCACTTATTTGGAGCGACTTCACAGTCACATTCATAACTAGGGCATTCATGTACAACGTGCCTAGCCTAACTAACTAGCCCTAGTGTCAGAGCATTGTGTCAGGATGACAGTCCAGCCGCGCCACTGGACTCGTACTCTACCATAGTGGCCAAGGAAGGACCCTCAAACCCTCCTGACACAAGGCTCTGACGCCAGGCTGCATTATCTAATCTAACTCGGTAAGCTGCACGGAGCCCTATTACCGGTACACTATCCATGAACCGCCCTGAGCAGCACGAGGCAGGGGCGGCGCTGTCAGTAGCCCTTGGGGCGGAAGAAGACGGAGAGGCCATGTGCCTTGAGGAACTTGCCCGTGTAGAGATCGGGAAACAGCACCACCCCCTGCACCGCAGCACTCGCGTTCCGCGGGCCCAGCACAGCCTTGCCAGCGTTAGCACCCACAGAGGGGTAGCGCTGCAGCAGGTCGGAGGGTGGCGCCTTGGTGCGCAGCAGCGTGTTGGGCTTGAGGTTGAGCAGCTGCGCGGCGGTGGCGGTGGTATCAGTAGCTCTTGGGGCGGAAGAACACGGAGAGGCCATGCGCTTTGAGGAACTTCCCTGCATAAAGATCGGGGAACAGCACCACCCCCTGCACGGCAGCAGTCACGTTGCGCGGGCCCAGCACGGCCTTGCCAGCATTAGCGCCCACGGAGGGGTAGCGCTGCAGCAAGTCAGTGGGTGGCGCCTTGGTGCGCAGCAGCGTGTTGGGCTTGAGGTGGAGCAGCTGCGCGGCGGTGAACTGGCGCTGCAGCACGTTGAACCTGCCGATGGCCTCCATGGCTATTGTGTTCTGTAGGGTTTTAATTCCCATGCCGTACACTGCCTTGTTCGTTGGGACCAGCAGCGTCGTGTTGAACAGCTGCGGCAGCTGCGAGTCGGGGTATTTGACTGTCATGGGGGAAGGGGGGGATGGGGGGTTTGCGGGGAAAGTTGGGGGAGGAAGAGTGAGTGGATAGGCGAGATTTGGCGTAACGACATCAGCGCGGAAACGTGTTATTTCAACAGTAAGTGAACCTAGAACATGTAATTCGCGTCTCGGTTCGTCATTAAAAAGAAACCCTAATTGAACGTCCGAGATGTCTTTATATTGCGAGCCTGAGAAAAGGGTGCGCGTAGCTGAATAGTGAAGGCGTCTAGCAGCAATGCTTTGAAGGAGCAGTACTCACGCATATTATCAACGCCTCTTGCGAACGCCGAGTACTCCTTCGTCTTAGCCAACACCGCCTTCAGCGCGTTGAGTTCTGCCCGGAATTGCGCCACCGTCGGTGCTACGTTCGCGTGGCAAGCGGCGAGCAGCAGCAGCGCGGCGATGAGAGCAAACGTGTGCGAGCGCGAAACCGCCATGATAGCTTCGGCAGGTGCTATAGTTAGCAATAAAAAGGATCCGCGAGGCTACTGAGTGCACGAGGCGTCGCGTTAATGGGAGATGCTGTGAGATTCAAACAGGAAATGTTGACTTCCCACAGCTAGCTGTCCAGTTGATCGGCGAGATGGCAGATATGAGGAACGATACGAGCGATTCACCGAAGTCTCCCTGATCAAAGTCAATGAACGGACGTGCGATTGAAGAACTCCGTGGGGAGCTTGTGAGCGATGCTGTGCCATACGTTCACTATTTGTAGGCTAGGCTTGGCTTGGCGGATCGCCCTTGGTGTTGGTCGAGAGTTTTGCTCAAATCCGGGGAAGCGCGGTTTGCTTTATTATCGCCACGTGACAGCACAACGATCGCGAGAAGCGCGATTTGTTTTATTGTTATCACAAAGTTCAAGCGAATTTAGTTAAGTTCCGTACAGCGCCTGCCCGCGGGCAAAAATAAAACCCCTATAGGTAAGGCATGCGTTAGGGATGCATCAACCCTAAACACCTAGAGGCAAGGTGTTTAGGCTTGATGCCTCCCTAACGCATGCTAGGCCCGAATGGGTTTTATTTTTGTCGGCGGGCAGTGCAATACAGAACTTAGCTAAATAAATATTGAAGTTTGTGATAACAATAAAACAGATCGCGGTTCACGCGATCGAAGGCATGCCACGTGGCGATAATAAAACGAACCGCGATTCCGCGGGATTGAGCAAAACTCTCGTGTTGGTCGCTGCTGACGGGAAGAATAGACGGACGGGCAGGGGGAGTTGACGGCCGGTGACTGCCAAGCCAATGGAATGATGGCTATAGGCGAGCGGTGCCCGTGGGGTCGATGGCTCCACAATTGTGGGGCCAAGTGAGAAACCGGGCGGTTCGATGACGCCGACAAGACGCGCCTGTCCGACGCAGGGCGGGTCCCACCCTGCCAAGCGAGGAAGCTCCCATCCCACCATCCCATCCCAAACAACCCATCCCAGGCCGTGGGCTGTGTCATCTTACAACGGCTGCGTTCTGCAGGCACGACAGAGGGGGGGGGGGGGGGGGGTAAATAGGAACCTTCACCCAACTGCGTTTTTTGGATCAAACGCCCGGTCAGCCCGGAAAATGGATCCGAGCCTCCATTCACCCTCCGAACGTAATCGAAGGTAAATGGCAACAGAACAGCCATTTACCCTCGTGGATATGAGGGCGTAGGAAGCTGCCTATTTCCCCACCCCAGCTTCCTTCTCTGGCAAAATTTGCCCCCTTCCCCCCCCCTTTCGAAAGCTGCTCTTGCCCGGGATGTGAGACGGAGGGGGGAGGGAGGCGCGAGGTTAGGGAACACCACACTTGAACCCTAGAAAGCTAACAGCCACACCCTTGAGTAGCCTAAACAGGGACGCGTCAACCTAACAGGTAAAAAAAAAACACAAGCCAGGTTGGAGTTGGCGAGGTTTGTGTTTTGCTGGAGGGAGTGCTTGGGGACCCGTTTTTTCCAACGTCGTATCCCTTTGCTAATCTTCAACCCTTTTTTCTGATTACGCGCAGTTCTCTCTACCCAAATTACGTGCGATGGAAATTGTAGCTGTTACTTCGGCATTTACCTTCTGCAGCTTCGCACCCTAAACCCGAAATTTCCAACTTTCGGTTGTAGCGGGGGTGGGAGGGGGCCGAAGGGGAAACTGACCCTGAACCATCGTCATTTCCCTTCGCCCCCTCCCACCTCCCTCCCAAGGGAGATGCCTGCAGAACACAGCCAAGAAAATGTTAACGGGAATGGAGTGTTGGCCCCGCCCTCGCTTGGGCAACGCCGACGACTTGGTCGGATGTACGGGTGAAGCAGCCGACCGTTCGCAGTGAAGGAGCTGCTCGACGGGCTTCGTCGAGCTGCAGGATGTCACTGTGGAGCAGTCCTTCGACCTAGAGCTCGACGGGGAGGTCTCGGGAGCATCCCGTCGAACTGCAGCTCGACCGGGAGGACTGGGGGGCGTCCCGTCGACCTGCAGCTCGACCGGGAGGTCCGCGAAGCATCCCGTCGACCTGCAGCTCGACCGGGAGGTCAACGAAGCAGTTCTGGTCGACGGAAGGGGTCCGTCGACCAGGGGGTAGCTCGACGGGAGCTGTGGTCGACCAGAAGGGCCTGGTGGTCGACCGGAGGCACCTGGTGGTCGACCGGGGGACCTGGTGGTGTCCAGGCGACCGGGTAACCTGTTCGACGAGTTCTGCGGAGGCACGCGAACGTCGTCGAGATCGCGATGACGAAGGCGACTTCGGAATGGTATCCCGAAGTCGATGTGGCTCGTCAGGCGCAGACAACAGCCGACGGATGCCCAACGAGGCAAGTCGGGCCAATCGTCTGCGCGCACCTGTGAGCATGCGCATTGCTGTCTTCTATTGGCAACGCTGGACAGCCGCTCTTCTGCAGCGTTGGCACGCCGTCGACCTGCAATGTTGGCAGGTCGCTCTTCTGCAGTGCTGGCGCGGCTCCTCTACGCAACGCTGGCAGGCGGTCGACCATGCAGTGCTGGCGGTCGACCAGGCTAGCTGCAGAGTTGCTAGGTGCCTGATGTAGTCCATTCTGTCATTGCTTGTTCAATTATTCTGTAATTCCAACTTTGCTAGTGAAAACTCTTGCCAATTTCTCCCGTGAATGTGCAAGCACTAAGGAACCAAGCAAAGCTACGATCACTCCTAGTAGTTCGTGCCAACCCCCGTAGTCTAGCTCACTACCGTTGTAGAGTGAATCTCTGCATGATGCGGTGAGCGTGGATGGCCCCGCAAATTACCTTCAGATAGGAGCCGACTTTTGCACCTACTAAGTCGTTCGTAGGCCGGCAGCAGCGTTAGTCGCCATGGTCGACCTCGCTGTAGAAGCGGGTGTAGCGGACACCTTGGAGACACGCTTAGCTGATGGGAGGAGACGCCACGCGGATGGCGAGTACGGGACGATCCCCTTGACGATCGTCGAGTTGGGCATCCGGGCGCAGTGGGCGACGGAACACCCTTCCCGTCCTGCATCTCCTCGACCGGCACGAAACGAAGGTGGCGTCGACGTCGAGGTCGACGGAGGTGCTCGAGTCAGCGGCAGCGAAGGCACGAGGCAGAGAGGTGTGATCAAGGTCGACGGTGGCGTCGACGGGATTCAGGCGCGAGTGCAGCGGTCGACGGCGGCTGCAGGCAGCTCGCGTGTCGATGTGGATGGTCGACGTCGCTCTCCTCTACGAAGTGGTGGAGGCTTCTCGGCGACGACGCATGTGACTGCGGGCGGGATTGCGCCGGCGTATGGCTACTTCAAATTCTCGCCGGACCGAATCACCGTCGCCCCGCTGCAAGGTCGACGGGACCTCATCACCTGGAGGGAGTCGATCGAACCTCAGCTGGAGGTCGCCGGGCTAAAGGGCTTCGCCGAAGGCACCGTGCCCATTCCGCCCGAGGAGGATGTCGAGCTGCGCGGGGAGTTCCGCGCTGCTCACCTGCTCACGTTCATGGTCATCTCGAGGTGCTGCTCGCCGGTGGTGCAGCTAGCGCTCAGGAGCTGTCGAGAGCGACTTGATGCTGGTCACCAGGCATGGCGCTTCATCCTGTCGACGTACCAGGTTAAGGACGACCTGTACATCGGCCAGCTGGAGGAGAAGATGACTCACATTCGGATGGGCGAGCAGGAGTCGGCGACGGACTACTGCAACCGTGCTCGACGGATCCTGGCGGAGATGCGGATGGCGGGCGCCGAGTACTCGACGGCGTCCTACATCACTCACCTCGTCAAGGGCCTGCCGCGCGGCTACAACCTCATGAAGAGGATGATGATGGTGCCCGGCACGCGTGAGTCCCTCGACGAGGACTCCATCACCAGCTACATCCTTCAAGACGAGGCGATGCAGGAGGCCGAACAGCCCACGGAGCTCCTTCCGCAGGCAAACTACGCTGCACCGACGAAGCTGAATCAGCAGCAAGGGCAGCGCGGGAAGCCGAGCGGAGGTGGTAGCGGAGGTGGTAGCGGAGGTGGGCGGTCGACGAAGGACGTCGACGAGAAGAAGTCTACGCGGGGCAAGGGTCGTGGAGGTGGTGGTCGACGGCGGGAGTGCTGGATCTGTGGCGATCCCGACCATCTCTCCTTCGAATGCCCCGACCGCGATGACAGCGACGAGGACGACAGCAAGGGAGGCCGCGGTCGATCGGCCAGTCGTCGCCCCCGTCGAGATGAGAAGCCCCGCAAGGAGAAGAAGGCGTCGAAGAAGGCGTCGTCGACGAAGGAAGTCGACAGCTCCAGCGGCAAGGACCGAGGCGACGGGGAGGCGTCGTGCTCGATGGTCGGCGTGGTGGAGCCGACAGTCTCGCTGGCGCCGGAGGCTGGCGAGGACTTCCAGGCGGTGGCGGCAGCTGTGCAAGCTGACCCGATGGCGGTGCTGCTCGACAGCGGGTGCTCCCACCACCTGATGGGGACGAAGGCGGCCTTCGTCGACATGGCGCCGAGCGACGAGGTGAAGCAAGTGCGCGGCTTCAATGGGGCGTTGCAGCCTGTCGAGGGTCGCGGAACCGTCGCTCTACAAGGGGAGGCCGGAAAGCGGGTCCTCATCCCCGACGTGCTCTACGTTCCGGGGGTACATGCGAATCTGTTGTCATCTGGCCAATTGAAGGAGAGTGGAGTGCAGTTCCAGGGCGACGGCGACGACTTGCTGCTCGTCGCCGCAACCGGGGAGGTGCTCGGTCGAGCACGCTACACCGGACGAATCCTCTGCACCGACCTTCGCCCTTGCTCGACGCCGTTGCCGTCGACCGAGGTGGTGGCTCTGCGGACAATCGTCTCGGCAACGAAGGCGACCCCCGACAGGATGCACGCGCGGCTTGCCCATGTCAGCGTCGACACGATCAAGAGCTCGGCGAAGCATGAAGTTGGGGTTTAGGGTTTCGCCGTCGACATCATGCCGTCGACCGGAGCAGACCCGGCGTGTGTTTCGTGCGTCGGAGGAAAGCTGGCACGGCACACCTTCCCCGACAAGGGCTCGGACGCCGAGGAGGCACTGGCTGTCGTGCACATTGACTTGTGCGGGCCATTTTGGGTGGCTGCCAAGGATGGCAGCTTGTACTTCCTGCTGCTGAAGGATCGCCACACTCGGTTTGTGTGGACAATGCCGGTCGCTAAGAAGAGCGACGTGCTGCGGGAGTTCCAGAAGTGGCTGGTGCTGGTGGAACGGCAGACGAAGAAGTCGGTGCTGTCGCTCCGCTCTGACCGGGGAGGGGAGTTCCTCGGACGGGACTTCACCACC